GTACTCACACATTAAGGAGCAAAAAGGGTTATCTGTAGAAAGAAAAATAGAGAGAGAAAAGCCACAGAGAGAACATTTAGATGAGAAGCGAACGGTGAGAATATTTATGAGATTGAGAAAGAGGCAGATGGGTTTCTCTTAATGATGGTGATGTACAGTTGTTGTTTGTAGCAGGAAAATTTATGAACCAACAAGCCTTAAAAAACAAATAAAAAAAAATAAAAGAAAAAAACGAAACCCTAGATTCTGTTGTCACAAAGCTACGGAGAAGATCGAACAACAATCGTGTCTCGAGAGGTGGAATTTTTGCTGGATGGGTTTAATCAAATGAGAGGAGAGATCAAGTTTAAGATTCGGATTTGAAAAGACATAAGATCTAACAACTATGAACAGAAAAACAGTGAAGAAAGAGAGACTGGAAAAAACGTGGAAGAAACAATGAAAATAGAAGAAACTCAATGAGTTTTCTCGGGAAAACAAGTAAATAATAGGGGATTAAAGGATAACGCAATCTCTCTTCTCTCTCAATAAAATTCTTACTTTTCCAAAGTCCTAATGATATAAGCGAAACCCAATAAATTTTCTAGGGATTTTTTTTGTTTTCTCTGCTTCTAGCAGCATATGTCAAAAGGAAATTCAACGGGGTTCTCCTTTACGTCTACGACCTACCGTTCGTTTTCCTTTTTTCTCAATTTTTTTTTCCGGACCACAACCTAGACGGCACCATATTTTTAATTGACTATGGTTTAATAACGCTATTAAAATTTGCTCAAAATTATAACAACCAAATTATTGATGAGAAAACAAATATATATAGAAAACCAAAGATTTTAAAATTTAAAAGAGATTTTACCTTAAGAAGTCACAAATCATGAATTTATAGGATACAACAATCGAATTAAATAGAGAATTAATTGCTGAACAACTTTAGATTTATTAATCAGAATCCACATTTGCTAACTCACCCATAACAATAATTTATTACATTTTGATCAAACGTTCGATGGTAGAAGTTCTTTTCTTCGAGAAGACACGAGTTTATCTGTTTGTGACTTTTAAATTAAAACATTTTGAAATATATCATTAAAACATGGACGTATAAAGAAATTAAGAAATTCGTAAAGAGTTATATTTGTTTTCAATGTAGTACTCCGTAAGCCCGTATTATATCATTGAGAATCATGTAAAAATTAACAATTTCTGACTTCAGTTCGTGTGAGGCAACTTCCAATTGATGGGTCCATTTAAACTCCACCATGGAGTGGATTGCAGAATCCTAGGCTCATGTAGTATATAACACAAAATTTTTAATAAAGATTATTTCAAACTTTTGACCTATTGTAATTAACCATGATACACTAAACATCTTTTTTGTTTGGTGTAATCTTTACACTAAACCAAAAACAAAAACAAAAATCGACGTATATTCAAGAAGAAGGTCAATCCCTTTTTTTGTTTTCTTACTTTAAATGACGAAAAAATACAGATGAAATGACATCATTTTATAATATATAATAGAATCATATTTCCCTTCTGTCCACTGATAGGTCGCACTCATCACTCCCACAATCTGCAAAGTCTCATTTATTCTTTGTGACAATTTGTTTTGGCATACTCATACTTATTTTCTCTTCTTGTTATTTGATTCAGTGGTAGTATTTTCATTTTCTTATAAATGGAACATACTCCAACAAAAAAAAAATTGACTTATTATTAGTAGTGTGGATGAGAAAACAAATGCATGCCTTGCGTGCATTAATTGCAACAACTCATAATTCTCCCCACTATTTATTGCCTCAAAATCTACCACCCCCATCCAACTTTATCTCCATTAAATTCTTACACTTCAAAAATTTTAAACTTAATTTTGTTGGACTTAGATTTGTTGGCTTTCTAAAGGTAAAATTATTATTATTCAGACTTAGTTTTGTCTGTTTTATTAAGGTCAATTATACTATATGTTTTGTACAATAGTACTTATATTTTCGAAACAAATATTATGCTCAGAAATTAAACAAATGGAGTATTTACTGAAGAAGATATGCCGGAACAACCGGGTTGACAAAATAGATTTCGTGTTTACTGTTTTTTTATTGTTGTTTGATTTCGTATTTCTTCGTAAAAAAAGTAATACACGAATTTTTTTCATCTAACAATCGATCCTTAGTCTAAATCGAATTAATTGTTATTGACTATGAAAATAAAGAAAAAAACGACGGGTTTGTCGCATAGTGAAAATGTCAGTGGTATGATTGAGTCATTTAAGAAATGGCTTCAAATTTTACTTTCCAGAACATCACCATGCTATTGATTTAAACACATGTCTTCATATGTTTTAGAAAGATTATAAGAGAATATGTATATACAAATATATGAATAGATATCGAGTTTTCTTTTTTGACGTAATGTCAAACTATGGCTGTATTTTGTAATGCCGTCCATATACATGATACACAGAATTATTGAAAAATGTTATTCATGCCATTTTATTATGTTTTCAGATTTGAGGCATGAAAATGAGAACTCGACTGTAAAAAAGGTCAACACTTTTGGTTCGCTTTTAGAAAGGCTTTTTATTCTGCATTCCATCTTCCGGACATTTTCTTTTCTTTTTAGTTAAAAGATTTTTCATTTCTTTTTTCTTTCTCAAGCTTAATTAATGACTATCATAATGTCTAAAAACATTCAAACGAAGAACACTTACATATATATATATGGCTTTTAATTTGTTTGATGATGACATTGATTCATTTGTTTAACATATGGGTTTAAAATTAGATAAATAGTTGTAGGAGCATGTTTATATCATTCGTTTAACGCAAAGCTCGATGCATGGACAAATGCTTTTTACCCCACCGCATGATTGCCTAAACTGATAATAGTATTTCGTTATATAATATGCTGTAAATACCATTTTTCATTATTATTAACAAAAAATAATGTACTTTCAAATGTATTTTCTCTAATTAAACTATGCAGAGGTTTCAAAAAAGGCAACAAAAGTAAAAAGAAAATGCAGGGATAGTTGGTAAACTATAATTGCGAGTAGTGACTGAGAAAGAGGAGCAACCGTCGATATATATACACACATAACACAACACATCTTTGCTTTGTTAGTGTCGTATCAGTATTTTCAGAAATAATCATTCCTCCCCCTATAACTTTTGTTTTTGGGTTATATGTTCTTCGTGATATATAGCTAGAATCTGATTTTATATATATCTGTATCTAAATATATTTTTATTTAACTATAGAACTCTATTTTAAGTCAATGCGTTTATATATGTTATGGAAAGTTTACCATTAAATTCACAGTTTCACACCTATATATAGTCCATAAAAGACGAACCGATTGCATCAATGAAGACGACACAAACGCCCTAGAAATATCGGACTTGACTTGTATTAGAAATTTAGAATCGTAAGTTGAAGTAATACAGTAATGTTTTTTGATATGAAAATTGTACGAATATTTTGAAACACAGCATACAATGTGGTATTTAATTTTTAGAATATAATAAGAAGACAAATTTATTTTGACTATAATAACCGTAGAAATTTTTGCAAGATTTGATTTTTGGAATGTAGGCTAAGACAAAAAAGAAGGCAATGTGGTACTATTGACCAAAAAGAAAGAAAGCAATGTGCTACGTTCCATTTTTGTTTTAGATTTGAGAAATTTTAAACAAGAGTGAGACGTTAAATTAGCAACATGTGTAATTATTAGTGGCTAAATCATATTTCAAGGTACTGGTAAATTGTAGTAATAAAAGAGTCAGCGGAGACAGAGTTACCCCCGGAAAATCCTTAATCACGGTTTTAGCCAAGTTTGTTCCCATTCCCTTTTTCACTTTTTTTCTTATGCAATATGCATGCGGGACATTCTCTCTCCCTCATGCTCATCATCACCATCATTTTCTCCGGATTAACTGTATTAATTTCTAATGAGATCATTATTAATTTTCTTTAATTTCCTTTTATTAGGTTTCACATATTTTCATAATTTTTTCATATTTGGACATTTATGTTATATATAGTCATTACGGTCTGTACTTATATTCTCCGTGGGCTTGTTCTGAAAGCAAAATATTGGTGAAAAAAGAATATGTATGTACCAGTCCCGATATCCAATTAGCTAGCAATGCATCTTGTAGCACCATGACCATTAAAAAATTCAGAAGAAAACAATAGTATAGTTTAAAAACAGGAAAAATCTAAGAGAGCTTCTATGAACAGAAGATCTTTTTAGCACAGCATGTTCACGTGAAGCCAGAAGGTGTTCATGATTGATTCGATTTTGTTCTTTATGCAGTTCCCAAAAAAAATTATATAAGGATTAAAGCAGCATATAAAACGGAACTAGTCAAATAGAAAATTAGATGGAAAAGAGTGTGTTAGTGAAAAAGGGTATTGGGCTTTTGTTGTTAAGTTTTCAAAACAAGAATCATGAAGTCTTATGACCATATAATATACACAAACAAAACACATCATCTACTTTATAAAGATCTCTCTGCTCGTCTAGTCCTAGTCTAGTGGCCACCAATAATACCTCACCTATTTTTATAAGTTTCCTCATGTATCCTTTAGGACGAATATATGTATATACACACCCATGTCTTTGAGTCTTTTGACCAAGAAATAATAGCTAAACTTGAGTTTCATAGACCATGCTTAAAATTAATGAGATTTTTTTTTATAATGGTAAGTATCAATTTATCCTACCAACAGACCCTAGCAAATGTCCATTATCATCTGCTTTATACAAATTATTTTAAAATTTCTATCTTGTAATCTGAATACTTAACTTTTGAAACATAGCACAAGTCAACTTACTTCTCATAGAAAAAAGCACAAAACCCTTTTCTCCTATAGTCTCCATTTCTCTTTCTCACTAGGCATCCTATTTATTTTTTATATCATATGTTAACAAAAAATTCACACAAAATGCAAATTTTTCACTTGCATATAAATTTAACTTATAAAATCTTACGTCATGAAGACGTAAGGGCATGACATTATTGTAAGACAATGAATTACATATATCTCTGGACTCTGAAGACCAGAACCTTTTTTGATCAATAGGAAGGTTTGATTTGGAAGATAGATTAGACATAAAAAGATTTACTTGTGCCAGACGGCATAGCGATGGCCACTTGTTGCTAGAGTCCAGTCTCCACCAGAAGGGCACCAAGAGCCGTCTCCAAGCTTCATGCACAGTTTCTCACCAACAATGGCTGCATATAAGTTAGATTCTGCTTTTAGAACGCGGATCGTTGACCTACTGTGGATATCTTGTCGCCTCCTAATCTCAATCTGTCAATGATTCGTAAGAAGGAAAAAAACAGAGGACATGTCTTAGAAGATATCGAAAATGTTGGACTAATAAGCAGAGAGATTGAAGTGAACAAAATACCAGTTTGACAATCTGATCATGAATCGAGCTTCCCCAGTCGTAAAAATGATCGTAGAACACACAGGGAATGCCGGGATGAGTAAGTATATATGCATAGCCCTACAAAAACACAAGACCGATCTTCTTCAATTAGGGAAAGACTTAAAATGCAAGGAAATGGACTGAATTTTGTTATGAGAGCTTCTTTACCTCCATAATGTGGTGTGAAGGGAACGGCCAATGAGCCTATGAGAGCAACAAAAAAAGTAAGCAAATATATGAAGGCTAAAAGAAAATGATCACAGAAGAAATTGTTAAGTAACCTGAGTAGAGCCAGTGTCATGGTTATCAAGGAATGTGACAGCTCTTGAAGGCCACCATCCCATTACACCCGGTGGCTTTCCTTGAGCATCACATAAACGCCAATACTGACCCTTTACGGCTTCCTGTTATAACAATAAACATTTGTGTTTCAAAACAATGGTGACATTATGTAAGCAAAACTCTATGAATTTAAAAGGTCTTAAAGAATCTACTTACCTGCAGAATTCCTTTAGTTGTGAAGTCAAATGCAGCAGAGATCTGTCCCGTGGCATCGATCCAACTGATGATACGCTGTCTATGGCTATCTGTAGAAAAAAACAGTGTCATAATTACATAACACTACAATGATGGAACTAGAATCACTTGTCAAACAAACCAACGCTACAAAACCTTGATTATAGTCTAGACCATGGCCATTGTAATTGCAAGAATCCCAACATTCTCCAACCGAGAATAACGGTTTTGCCGCTCCAATGTATTCCTTCACATAGTTTGCTGAATAACTGCATCAATTACATTCAAAATTCACAATTTTAAGGACTACACAAACAAAGAAACAAATCAGCTCAGCGAAAACTTACCCCCTAGCAAAGTCAAAACGGAAATCTTGAAACCCGACGGTGTTGCGCAGCCAACGAAGCCACCCGATTATATCTTTCCTAACAAAATGCTGAGTGTGATCAACATTTGGAACTCCGTTAAAATTATCCCCTGTGCTTCGGTTACCCTGTTTTAGTAGAACACTTTATCTTTAGCTTTAAGAACATAATGATATGTCAAACATGTAACTTAACCATCTATCACTCACCAGTCCTCCGGTACAAGAAGTCACGGCGTGTTCATCCCACGGTAATGAAATTCCATCATATCGGTTATACATTCCACCATGTCCTCTCGTTGTCCCAACACGATGATTGATGACTATATCAGCCATAGCTCTAACTTTGTATTGTTTCATCTTTCGAAGTAAGGATTTCAATAGATGCTCAGAGCCATATGCTGAGTTTAGTGAATAAAGGTCCTGTGGAAGGTAACCTGAAATGATAGTAAAAACCGTTTCTGCAGTTAGTAATGATAATTCATTTCAAAACTCAAATACATAAAAGCTCATTATGTCTTGGAATCAATTTCCTCTAACCTTCTGGTGCAAGAGACTGAGATGGTGGTGGTAACCATGCAGAAGTAAAGCCAGATTTGGCAATGTCAGGAACTTTTCCGTCCAAGTTTCTCCACCAATCATATTTATGAGATTCCCAGTTATATGCCTGATATAGAAATCCAATTTTTTTTTAGGGTCTATCTATAAGACTAGGATCAAACTAAGATTGGAGAATTATAACTGTTACTGTGTTAGACAATATAATAAAGACGAGCTTACCTGGAGAATGACTTCCCTTCCATCGCGTAGAACTCGACCTGATTTAGATAAGTAATAGACTTAATAGTTCAGCTTTGAAACTAAGAAACTAAAGAATCATGAACAAGGCTTAATCCTATATTAAAAGTGCTTTTGTGTTTACCGATATCAGTTTGGTCGTTGCATTCATCAAAGACCTGCAATAGTATCATGCTTTAGAACAACAATTTCCTAAAGAAAGTGGTAGAGCAAAAAAGAAAACAAAAGGCACTTACATTGTTATAGTAGCCCATGTGGAGACAAGGTTCAGCAAAACCTCAAACACTGATCGACGAAAAACAGGTTAAATTTAACAATTACCTGCATCCAGAATGATACCATTTCAGAGAGATCAAACAATAAACCAGTAGTGTTCTGAAGCAGCAAACTAATAATCAAAGATGCTAAATTCCAAACATTTTTCCACTAAGATAAGAAAATTAGTGAAGAGCAACATTTGTTTCAGGACAGATAAATGAAACAATAACAAAATTCTGTTTCCAATTTCAGATTGATTATAGTCTAACCAAGAAAATTAGGCAGTTTAACAGAATAAAATTGGAGCATTCGTGTGATATATCAATTCTGTGATCAAGATCATACACATAAAAGAACAAAAGAAGATCAAATACCACGGAAACGAAGAAGCTATATATCACAAGTCCCTTAATCAAACAATCCTGCATATATATAGAGAGAGAGACGAAGAGCGAACGTGAAGTGATTGAACAGTTTCTGATCCCAAACGAATCAGAATCAAATGTCAAACAACTTTCGGCCACACAAAAAACAAACCTTTTATAAATTGTGAAAAGGAAGAGGAAGAGAAGCAACGGAGCAAATTGGAGTATACCCACAAAACACAAAGTGACGATTCGATTCTACGGTATTAAGAGATGAGCCAATCACAGAATACAATACCTTCTTCAAAAAGTATAAAGCTGTAAACAACTTGAGCGAAGAATCTCAGAGATAAAAGAGATGTCTTTTTTCCCCTTCGTTGAATCTTTTAGGGTTTTTGGACTCGATCGAGATACGAAGCTTCATAATTCGCCAAAGTTTGCGTTTTTTAATTCTCCTGAAAGAAAAATCTAGACACGCGTTGACTGTTAGATTAAAGTAGATAACTTGACATGACTAATCCAATTGAAATAGTATACGACGCGTGTATGTACCATGAGCGATGCCTATATCTGAACGGAGAGATTTGAAAGTTTCGTACTTTCATACATAGAGATCAATGAGAAACAACGGCTATATTTTTCTTGCTTAGTTGCCACAAGAACAACTTTCCCAAAGATGTGTGATCAATGGATATAGTTGACTTTTTCAAATTTGACTTAAGATATAAATAAGAAAAACTTTTGGGCTTGAGAATAAGCCCATATATAAAAGAAAATTAGAGGCCCAGTTAAAGAGCAGTCTGAAAATAAAAACGGCGTCGTAGAGAAGCATACCTCAGTCGTCTTCTAGGGTTTTGACTTTTGTTCGGTAGCCATTAACGTAGTTGCAGAGGAAAGCTGGAAAATAGAGAGTTCGATGAACTCACGCCACTATAATGGAGGCTCAGGAGTTTGAAAACCGAGAGATTTTCCCCGGTTCGAGGTTCCTGATCGAGAATCAGATCAGAATAAGCTCAAAATGTCGACCACCACCACTGACAATGAAATTGGCTTGTCATGCGGCGGAGGTGTCACGGAGCCTCAAAAAGTTGCTATAATCTTTGCCTTTTGCGGTGTAGGATACCAAGGGATGCAAAAGAATCCCGGCGCCAAAACCATTGAAGGCGAGCTAGAAGAAGCTTTGTTCCATGCCGGAGCTGTACCAGAGTCCATTAGAGGCAAGCCAAAACTATACGATTTCGCACGATCGGCACGGACCGATAAAGGAGTTAGTGCTGTGGGACAAGTAGTTTCCGGTCGGTTCAACGTTGATCCACCTGGATTCGTGGATCGTCTCAATTCAAATCTCCCTAATCAGATTAGGATCTTCGGGTACAAGCATGTTACGTCGTCGTTTAGCTCCAAAAAGTTCTGCGATCGAAGAAGGTATGTGTATCTGCTTCCAGTGTTTGCTCTTGATCCAATCTCGCATCGTGATAGAGAAACAGTAATGGCTAGTTTGGGTCCAGGAGAGGAATATGTGAAGTGTTTTGAGTGCTCAGAGAGAGGTCGTAAGATTCCAGGTCTTGTGGGTAATTGGAAAGGTTCCAACTTTGTTACTAAATCATTGGATTTTCAGTCAGACATTTTGTCGAACAACTCTAGTGCATTAAGAACTGACGTCAAGATTGAAGCTTTGAGTTCTAATTTAGCTAGCTTAAGCTCAGTAGATGTTGAAGTAGTTAGTATACAAGGAGACAGTTGTAAATTGAATACAAATTCAACAGAGAAGATCAATGGAGAAGGAAATGTGATTGTTGAGACAAAGAGCAAGTTTTGTTATGGTGAAAAGGAAAAAGAAAGGTTCAATAGAATACTAAGTTGTTATGTTGGATCATATAATTTCCATAACTTCACTACAAGAACAAAAGCAGATGATCCGGCTGCGAATCGTCAAATCATCTCCTTCACTGCTAATACTGTTATTAATCTTGATGGAATTGACTTTATTAAGTGTGAAGTCTTAGGCAAAAGCTTTATGCTTCATCAGATTCGGAAGATGATGGGTCTTGCTGTTGCAATCATGAGGAATTGTGCTTCTGAATCACTTATCCAGACTGCTTTCAGCAAGTAAGCTTCTTGTTATTTTTTGGTTTGAAGCTTTGCAGTGTCTATAAGTTTTGTTTGTTGTGCTACTCAATTTGGAAATTATGTAACCAGGGATGTGAATATAACTGTACCAATGGCGCCTGAAGTTGGACTTTACCTCGATGAATGCTTCTTCACGTCTTATAACAAAAATTTTGAAGACAGTCACGAAGAAGTGTCCATGGAAGCATACAAAGAAGAGGCTGAAGCATTCAAATTGAAGCATATTTATTCTCATATCGGCGCTACAGAGCGAAAATATGGAAATGTGGCTCTTTGGTTACATTCCTTGAACTATAGAAACTATCCAGACCTAAATTTTGGCAGTCATGGAAATAACAGAGTCCAAATTTCTTGTTCAGAAGAAAGTTAATGAAACCCACCACGAGGAAGAACATTGTTCATAGTCTCTAAGCAAAATGATGGAAGCTTAGTTTGAAGATTTTGACATTGTTTTTATTCTTATCATTCAACAATGTTGGTTAACTATTCTTGTAACTTTTTAATCAATGATTTATTTTGTGTTATAAGGTGACACGAAGGAATTGATTTGTTATCCTCCAATGTCGTCATCATATAAAAGATTTTCTTTATGGAAGAAGAAAGAAGAATCTTATTTGAACAATGTTTGTAGAATAAAAATCGGTAAAAAATGATTATAAGGAAGAAACGTGGAACCGAATCTACAGGCAGAGAGACGTGACGTTACATATGAGCAGAACCATATATAAAATCCCTAATCGCACGTCAACCTCTCCGAAGCATAAGGCCCATAACTTTTTTTCAGTTTTTACTATTTTAATTGTTTTTAAATTGTTATTTAGGGTAAATAAAATGTCAGACTTCGATTGACCCGATGAGTTTTAGGGTGTGACTCCTATCTTCGTCTGCACTAATAAGTACTACTTTAACTTTCGCTTACCAATGCATGTCAATACTCAACAGTGACACATTTTTAATTTTCAGAGGTTTTTAAATGCCCAAATCTTTGATATTTAAAGATCGTACCAGTTTTAAATTCCTCACCTAAACATTATTTGTATTTTGAAGTATATCATTAGTGTATAACTGTATATAGTACAATTGTACAAAGATCGTCTTTCATTTTCTTAACTTTTTTTTTTTGGTTTTACCATATTCTCAACTTTTCGCTCACATTAGTCTCACATTCTTTAATTTTTCCATGTATAAGAATAAACTAAAAGTGTAAGAATCTAATAAACAAAACGGTAAAGAAAAAAAGCAAGGCAGTCTTTTTTTATAGGTATTATCGATGTTTTCATATTAGACTAAAGAAATTTCAAATATTTTTAATTATTGATTACATTGGAAAGAAACAGATGTGACTAATTTCGACTGCTCGTAAGCTTAAAATCTAAAGTAGGTGGGCTGCAATAATATCTATCAGTATTAATAATCTGTGAAAAAGTAATTAGTAGTATCAGACAAATTACTAAGCAACATCATTCAAAACGCCTCGAAAATAAAAACAATAATTTGAAAGCAAATATACACAATTACTATAAAGTATAAAATTTTAAATTTCCTTATATCTATGTGGTATATATTAAAAACACAAAAAGAAAGAAAATGACAAATCCTCACGTCCGTTACTTTTAAATCCTTAGCAAAAAAAAAAATTAGATTTCTTATTTCTATTTCTTTCTGATTTAATCACAAATCTTATCTTGAATCGTTATCTTTCTCTTCTTTCCTTAAACCAAAACCCAAAAAAGAGAGACCAGACAAAAAAAAACACACACAACACAACCCCTCCCAACAAAAAAAAAAACCTCTACTAATAGTCTCTCTTTAACGATGTCATCGGACAACGAATCGACACCGTCTCAGGCGACGGTAGAAATGACCGTAACGTCGCCGGCGAAGATTAAAGAGTATCCAGAACCATTGGCTTCACATGAAGTTGTCGTTAAAGATTCTTCTGTCTTCTGGGATACTCTCAGGCGATTTCACTCAATCATGTCCACTAAGTTCATGTAACCATTATTCCTCTTGTTCTTAAATCTTACTTTATAAATTTAGTTTCGTCATTTATTTTATTTATTTTTGTATGATATATACAAGGATTCCTGTGATTGGAGGAAAAGAACTGGATTTGCATGTTTTGTATGTGGAAGTCACGAGGAGGGGAGGTTACGAAAAGGTCAACACTTTTGTTTTCTTTTTCAATACACAATTTTTTTTTTACTTTATGGTAATTTATTACTATCATATTCTTATATGTTGAGATTGTTTTGAAAATGCATGTAAATTAAAAGGTAGTCGCAGAGAAAAAATGGAGGGAAGTTGGAGGAGTGTTTAGATTCTCTGCGACAACAACAAGTGCTTCGTTTGTCTTAAGGAAACATTATCTCAATCTTCTCTTCCATTACGAACAAGTTCATCTCTTCACTGCTCGTGGTCCTCTTCTTCATCCCACAGGTTTTTTTTTCAAACCTTCTTCAATTAATTACATGGAACTTTGTGACGAGATTGTAATCCTACAGGCTATATTCTTCAATTATCATAGATTTCTTTCTACTGAGATTCTTTAATTCAACCGTTTGATAAATGCTAATCAATGAATCATAAGATGCTTCCCATATCGTCTTTAATGCCCTAAGACTAGAAAGTTCAATTCCTTGTTAACCATTAACGATAGTCTAAAAGGCTTGAAACTAGGATCAAATAATAAAAATGAAATTCCAAAATGTGAAGACATGGGTTCAATCGTGGGACACATTCTTACTACAAAAGTGGGAGTTCAACGATTGTATATACCCGAATTTTATTCATCATTTTTTTTTATCTTTATAGTTATTGTAATTATGTTAATATCTTGGAACTAGAAATTATTTAGCGACGATTATTTATGTCACAACTCACATATAAGAATATCAATTTTGCAGCTACATTTCATGCCAATCCATCAACGAGCAAAGAAATGGCTCTCGTCGAATATACTCCTCCGAGTATAAGATATAATAATACTCATCCTCCTTCTCAAGGTTCGTACGTATTCTCTACTCATCTTTTTTCTTTGTTTTATATCATCATTTTAATGACAAAGTATGATTAAGGTCTTAGTTAATGATATGTGTAACTTATATTTAGGGGCACAGTTTAATTTCTTATGATAATTGTCTAGTTAGCTTTATGTACTTATCATAAAATCTTTGTGTTTATCTCAATACTTTTCAAATATAGTTTAGAATCATAATGGTCCCACTGTCATTATGTTTGATGCAAATTTATTTGGATTTTGTTGGATAATAAACCTAAGATGTGGGACCAAACCGGAAGCTTATAAGAATTTGGTTCACATACAAGAAATTTTTATAAGATAATGTATTTAAGCTTGCTTATGATACATGTGATATTTAATACATGGCACAGGTTCGTCGAGTTTCACAGCCATAGGTACAATAGAAGGCAAATTCGATTGTGGTTATCTGGTAAAAGTGAAGTTGGGCTCAGAAATCCTTAACGGCGTGCTTTATCACTCGGCCCAGCCAGGCCCATCATCATCTCCAACCGCTGATCTAAACGGTGCCGTTGTACCTTATGTCGAACCTGGGAGAAGACGACGTCGTTTAGGTAAAAGACGAAGAAGCAGACGTAGAGAAGACCCAAATTACCCGAAACCAAACCGGAGCGGTTACAATTTCTTCTTTGCAGAGAAGCATTGTAAGCTTAAGTCTCTTTATCCCAACAAGGAAAGAGAGTTTACGAAAATTATCGGCGAATCGTGGAGCAATCTCTCTACCGAAGAACGAATGGTAACAAATTATCTTTTATACCGGGACCGGTTAAGAGATGAAATTCGATTTGTAGTAAACCGATAATTGAACCAAGTTTTGGTTATTGTTTGTAGGTTTATCAGGATATTGGATTGAAGGATAAGGAGAGGTATCAGAGGGAGCTGAATGAGTACAGAGAAACGTTAAGGCTCAAGGATGGTGACATGACAAACGGCAAGGCGTTTTAGGTGATTTGTTTAAAACGGCAAGTCGTTATGTTGTAGGTCGTTTCTCTTTTTTAAGATCGGACGCCTCGCCGTTTATTTTTCTAGCTTATGGTAGTTGTCCATGCTTAACTAGGCTTAGCCGTGCATTTGGATTTTATCGGACAGTTCCTTTCGAAACTTGAAAAGTCTGTTTATATTTTTCTGAATTTTAGATGTTCTAATATTAATCTTTCTCTAACAATTAGCATACTAAAAAGTGGATATATTAGCTTCAATTCGATTCGTTGATTAGTGACTAACTAAACACCACAAGATCTATTAATAAAAACTTGGAATTTTCAAAGTCTCCTCCTAAGCTTATCTAGTTAATAGTTATGCAACGTTAGACAAAACTATCAAATAATGCCACGTCACCTCACATAACATCTAGGATAACCAATCACAGCAATCCCATGCAGATAACTCTCTCGCTTTATCTTACCACATAAACCTCACAAACCCCTTTTGGGAAAAATCCATGTTTTCTCTTCAAATCCTATCAAAATCCCATAAAATTTCAATTCTTTACGAGTGATCCCAAAAATAAAGAAAATGGCCGCGATTACATCAGCTACCGTCACCATCCCTTCTTTCACCGGCCTAAAGGTCGCCGTCAGCTCAAAACCCACGACGGTATCCACCACCATAAGATCCTCCTCCGCCACCAGGACGGCACCTAAGCTCTCTGTGAAGTCCTCTTTGAATGATTTCGGCGTCATCGCCGTGGCAACAGCAACTTCGATTGTTTTAGCCGGAAATGCAATGGCCATGGAGGTTCTTCTAGGATCCGACGATGGTTCTCTTGTTTTCGTACCATCTGAATTCACAGTGGCTAAAGGAGAGAAGATCGTGTTCAAGAACAACGCAGGGTTCCCACACAATGTTGTGTTCGACGAAGACGAGATCCCTAGTGGTGTGGACGCGAGCAAGATCTCGATGGACGAGGCAGAGCTTCTTAATGGTGCGGGAGACAGTTACGAGGTTACTCTGACAGAGCCTGGCTCTTACGGTTTCTATTGTGCGCCGCACCAGGGTGCTGGTATGGTCGGGAAACTCACCGTCAAGTAAATTGTCTCGAGACTCTCTTGTTCGAGTACAAAGCTTATTCAAAATTTATTTACAAATCTAATTTGGAAGAGAGTGTTGGATAGTAAAAAAGGATTATATAATGTTTACTTGTGGTTTCACACTTTCACTGGCTCTTTGTACATTTCAAGTCGCAACCATTCTTTGTGTCCGTGAAAAGAGCTTTTAGGTCTCTCTGCGTTGCGTTTTCTTGCTTACTTTAGTCCCAACATCAGAGTCTTTTAGAGGCCCAGCTCACCTATATTTACGGTTGGGCCTAACGGCTCAAGTTTTTTTCGGGAAATATAGGAAAAAAATATAGAATATCACGTGATGAAATCATTGTTGATTTTAATTAAATAAACAAAAATGAAGAAAGTTCATGGATCCAACTTCCAAGGGTCGGGCAGGGAAAAATCGTAAATGTTGGTCGCCTGGTTTGTTTAATTTGAGGCCAAACAGGGAAAGAGACAAACAACAAAGATCAGCACACTCATAGCTGATAAGTAATCGAGACTCTATTTCTCGAATAGAGAGCTCCACATCGAATACGATTCTCATATCTTGACAAGTACTCCAGTTGCAATTCCGAAATAATTAATATGAATAATTTACATTAGTAATGCGAAGAAAGCTCGCAACAGTTGTCATATTTTGTGTTCTAGAGAAAAGCACAAAGTGATTAATTAACATATTTGAAGGTTTCATCTTTCTTATCTGTATGTTTAACATTTTTATATAATGTTTAAAATGTATAAATCATGATTTCGACGAGCTTTACTAATAGTTTCCGGTCGAATATAACAGCTGGAGGTGGATGTCGTTTGTGCATTATGGTCTACAGTTGGAATGAATAGAGTAAATTAAATATCGGGTTCATAAAATATGATAAAGTTGGACCAATCTATAACGAAGTTGTCCTCATTAATACATTAGTTATGTCGTGTAAGCAAAAAGAGCACGTGAGTGATGTTAAAAAAGCAAGCTGTAATATGGAGTGATGAAAGATTCGTGTTGAAATACATACAGATTGCATAACACATCGTCATGTGATATGATACGACCAATTTACCAAAAACCATGATTTTAAATTAAACAATAATTGGAAACTCCAATGACCAGCTAATAATAGTCATTAAAGTAAAGTTATGAACTCACGGATCCTGGACAAAAGTATAACTTTCTTTTTTTACTTTTTTTTTTGGTAATCAGAGCTTTATCATTAGGGAATAGGTTAATTCGGGTCAAGAAAATTATCTACCTACCCCATTCGAGACCATAACTAAAATTTTACGTCACGGACTCGTACCCATTTCATTAGCTATCTTTTTTCCCCTAATTCATTTGATTCGTAATGACTCTTATTTAATTATGTAAAAACAATTCCTGAGTTGTACGGAGAGCGAGAGAGATATATGAAAATAATTTAGGTGACTTCACATAAAAAATATTATTAGGAGCTTGCCTAACCCTACAACGTGGAAAGGGTGAAATGCTTGTAGAACTCATTAAGGATAACATCTCAGATATATAAGTTCAAGATCGCAAATAATGATTCTCATGGCATTTATACTCACATGTAGTCATATAGATCTGGATCTACAAATAATTGTAGTTTGTCATTGTTATACTGATGTGAAAATACTAAATAGAAACACAAAAAAAGTATACATAAATATATACATAGAAAAGTATTCATTAACGATGTGTTGATCTACGTTAATAAACAAAAAAATACTGATTTTACTACTGGAAGTTGAATGCTCGCGAGCATACATCAAAACAGATATTCTAAGATGAAAATTGTAAGATACCCTATATAAAACTAGATGCAATGCCAATAAATTACATATCAATAGTAATCAAATAAGATGTATTATTATAGTTGCTGTGTCATAATTTTCGATTCAATTAGTAAGATAAAACTAAAAATACCCATGTAAGCAAACATTATATGGCAATTATTTAGTGTCTGAATAGTATTAGGTAAAAAATATATTTTGTTTTCCTTCTGTCACCTTGTAATTTCTATAGGCAGTAGTGTGGACCATAAATTTCTGTTACTTAACTTGCTAAAAAAGATTATTTAATTGCAAGATTCTAAACTGGATTATTCCTACAATACATCTTTGTAGATAAAAACCATTAACTCTGTACAAGAGTCGTGAACTTAACGTCTCTCTCTCGTCCTTTGCCTTCTCTCTTTCTCCCTCTTCAAACAAAAAGAAATGGACTCGGTGGCTCTCTACTGCACCGCCGGTCTCATCGCCGGCGCCCTCTACTGGTTCATATGTGTCTTAGGTCCAGCAGAACGAAAGGGCAAACGAGCCTTAGATCTCTCCGGCGGCTCAATCTCCGCCGAGAATGTCAAAGACAACTATAACCAATACTGGTCTTTCTTCCGCCGACCTAAAGAGATCGAATCCGCCGAGAAAGTTCCTGACTTCGTCGACACGTTCTACAATCTCGTCACCGATATCTACGAGTGGGGATGGGGACAATCTTTCCATTTCTCTCCTCATATCCCCGGAAAATCACACAAAGACGCCACAAGGATCCACGAAGAAATGGCCGTCGATCTCATCAACGTGAAACCTGGACAAAAGATCCTCGACGCTGGTTGCGGCGTTGGTGGGCCGATGAGAGCCATCGCGGCCCATTCCAAGGCCCAAGTCACTGGAATCACCATCAACGAGTACCAAGTGCAACGAGCCAAGCTTCACAACAAGAAAGCTGGACTTGATTCTCTTTGCAACGTCGTTTGCGGCAACTTTTTAAAGATGCCGTTCGATGAAAACACGTTCGACGGCGCTTACTCGATCGAAGCCACGTGTCACGCTCCTAAACTCGAAGAAGTATACTCAGAGATCTTCAGAGTGATGAAACCAGGATCTTTGTTCGTGTCCTACGAGTGGGTCACCACTGAGAAATACATAGACGAGGATGAAGAACACAAAGATGTGATTCAAGGGATCGAGAGAGGAGACGCACTTCCTGGACTAAGAAGCTACAAAGATATCGCTGCGACGGCGAAGAAAGTTGGGTTTGAGGTTGTGAAGGAGAAAGATTTGGCTAAACCACCGTCTAAACCGTGGTGGAGCCGGTTAAAGATGGGAAGACTTGCTTATTGGAGAAACCATGTTGTGGTTGTGATTCTTTCTGCTATTGGGGTTGCTCCTAAAGGAACTGTTGATGTTCATAAGATGTTGTTTAAGACTGCTGATTATTTGACCAGAGGTGGTGAGACTGGAATCTTCTCGCCGATGCATATGATTCTCTGTAGAAAACCAGAGAAAGCTTCTGAATGAAATGATGAGAATCTTCCTTGTTCTTCTAATTTCCTGTTTTGCCCTTTAAGAATCTTTTTGTCGTCGTATTAATATTATCACTTTGTTGTTTTTTTTTTGTTTCATTTCAATTTGATTTGTTTTGATTGATGATGGATCACTGAAAATTTGTTTTTAGCTTCTTCTACAATAGTTTTTGAAAGAATTCGCCTGAAAAATCTTATCAGAGTGATCCGCCGCCTTTTTCAATCTATGTACAAGTCTCTGTTTAGTTTTAATTTCTAAGATCTAACCGGAATAAACGGTGGAGCCGTGGAGATCTGCTGAGGGTAGGTTAGGTAGCGCCGGCGAGCAAACACGTGATTAGCACGTATCAATGGGGGGGGGGGGGGGGGGGGGGGGGGGGGTAGTTTGGTAAATTAATATGTGCTTAGGTGTCACATTGTGTCTGTAGTAGTGAGTCGGGAGTGGTCGTGGGATTTGTGGGCTGTCCGATATGTATATGTTAATGTTCGTCAACGGTTTAAGATTAGATTTTTATTTTATTTTAGGCTTATGGTTTGTCGCATTGCGGTAGTGGGTACAGTGTGGTCGCACGAACTCCGGTTTTTTTTTTTTTTGAATTTAATATTAAATTATATTCAAAAGAAAAATAAACGTTTCTACAACTCAATGTGATGCAATTCAAAACATTTTTGAAACTTTGAAAAGAAAAACTGAGTCTTCTCTATAGCCTTGACGCAAACCAAGCGTGGATGCCGCTTGTGGCTTCTCCCCCTCCGATTGTGCTCAACCGGTTTCGTACATTTTTATCGATCAACTTGACAAGTATTTCCGTTGGCGAGGGCTGTTCACGAACTCCGGCTTACCTTAGAAGAATATATTTTATTTACTTTCTCAATTTGTTTTGAAGATGAAGTGATTTTGTGCATTACTAAAAAATGATTCTCCTTCAGTCCTTGACAAAAAGTATGATAAACACGAGTCTGGTCAAAACTATAGTGGGCTTTGATTAATATATATGGGCTTAAGGCCCATTTTTATTGGTTTACCTAACATCTAGTTCCACCGGAAGTGGATATGCTTATATTCGTACGTGACATCAACAACAATACATGTCCAAGTCAATGGTTAGGGTCGAAGCTGAGAAAATACCCAAACTCCAAACTATGACAGCTGACGCAATCTTTTGTTTTCTTTGGCCGATACATTTTCTGTTTAACAGATGGAAACTACAATGTCGAATTTATTCAACCGGTTCAATTAGTCTTACTTGGATGCTGGTGGAATTTTCCAGAATATTTTGTCCTTTTGCAACAACTTAAACAAACCAACTTCGATTGCTTTTAGAAACAGCAATCTCACCAAGATTCCTTTTATATTCCCCACAGAAAAAAAAATCTAATCAACAATGAACACAATCCACACAATTTAAACAAGTGGACATAAAAGTCTTGGACCCATTTTAAAACATCTATCCACATTAGACCATTCACTGATCTCTAACCAAATCATACACACACTCTTACACGATGGCCACCGTCGCTAACTTCTTAGCCAAACCAATCGCCACCGTAGTCCCACGGCCTTCCTCCGCCGTTGCCTCCACCTCCTCCTTCATATTCTTTAACTATAAAACTAACTCTCTGTTCCGGAGGGAAAACCTCCCGAAACGACTATTCTCCGCCGTGAAAGTGAAGGCCGGAGCGGCGTCTCCAGGGAAGGTGGGTACACCCCCGGCAAAAGACGAGAAGGTACAAAAGATTCACAGCGGAGAGGAATTCGATGAGGCGTTGAAAAATGCAAAGAGCAAACTTGTGGTTGCGGAGTTTGCTACAAGTAAGAGTGATCAGAGTAATAAGATATATCCGTTTATGGTGGAACTGAGCAGGACCTGTAACGACGTCGTTTTCTTGCTCGTCATGGGTGATGAGTCTGACAAAACCAGAGAGCTTTGTCGTAGAGAGAAGATTGAGAAAGTTCCTCACTTTAGCTTTTATAAAAGCATGGAGAAAATACACGAGGAAGAAGGTGATTTCCTTATTTTCCCTAATTACTTCTCTCATTTAAAATATGACTCGATTTAATCTAGAAACGCAAAAAACATTTGGAATTAGACTTTACTCAACCGATAATGCCCCTGATTTGTTGAGCAAATCTCTCAAATTAAGGAAAAATTTAACACAATCTCTCAAATTCACCTAGATTTTAGCAGATTTTGGACACACACTTGTTTATTATCTGATTTCGATGTACGATGATTATTTATTTAAGTTTAGAGTATTGTTATGTGTTGATGTTGTAACACTAACGATAACGATTTTTTAAAAGAGAATTCAATATAATTCTATATAAACAATATAGTTCAATATAATTCTATATAAACATTAGCAAACGTGTTATATGTTTGATGTTGTAACATAAGTAAACTAATGTAATGGCAAAGACGTATATAAATGGAAAAGTTTGACCATGGACAGGTATTGAACCGGACCAGTTAATGGGAGACGTTCTGTACTACGGAGACAACCACTCGGCGGTGGTGCAGCTGCACGGTCGAGCTGACGTGGAGAAGCTAATCGACGAGAATCGCACGGGAGGCAAGCTGATCGTGCTCGACGTCGGTCTGAAACATTGTGGTCCTTGCGTTAAGGTGTATCCGACAGTGCTGAAACTGTCCCGGTCAATGTCGGAGACAGTCGTATTCGCTAGAATGAATGGTGACGAGAACGATAGTTGTATGGAGTTTCTCAAGGACATGAATGTTATTGAAGTTCCAACTTTCTTGTTCATTAGAGATGGAGATATTTGTGGCCGGTATGTTGGTTCCGGTAAAGGAGAACTCATCGGAGAGATTCTTCGGTACTCAGGTGTTCGTGTCACTTATTAATTTGTATCAAAACTCAAATTTTATTACATCTCATTTAAAAAAAGAATGAGTTTTTGGTCTTTGTTTGTACCATCCGAAACCGGTTGATATGAAAAAAACTCAAAATAGTGTGATTCTTGATTTGAGTTTTTGCTTTTGCATGTTTAACTTTGAAGGCACGGAAACTTGAACGGATTTGAATTTGTCCGTAAGGGAATGAGATGTTTATGATTTTTTTTTTTGACATCGAGATGTTAATGATTTGTACCTACCCGATGAAGATGTTACATTATTCCCAATAAATATATACACATTATCATCATTTTGTATGTGATATTAATGGTTGATTGTGATTTACATTTATTATATGGACAATTTGGTGGTGGAAACACATTGGTTGTTAGATTTTTTTTTCTTTTTCAAAAGACATTGTTGTTGTCATGCGCTCTGTCACAGAAGGAAAGACAAAAACTAGTAATTTTGTAATTGAGAAAAATGTAGTGAGAAAGAGATTTTTATTTGGACGGAGCAAAATTTATATTCACAAAAGACTATTGAAGTGAACGATCATCATCATCACAACTTAACATATACACATAACAACAAAATCCTGATTCATTGTGAATGATGATCATTATACAATTTGAACTGCAGTAATTAATATAGTATATTGAAAGGAAAAAAGTAAAAAAAAAAATGTAAATGAAATTTAATCAAGCGGTTTGAAGATGAAGTGGTTTTGGTGGATCCATGGTTCTTCTCTTCCACAAGTTAACTTCTTTCTTTGGTTTTAACCCTAAAGGAGCTGAGAAAGGGATTATTATGTCGTCTTCATCGTCGTCATCGTCGTCTCTAAAGAAAGCTCCTCTCTTCTCGTCGTCGGAATAGTAACCACGGCGATGATCAGCTGGGGATTCTTCTTCATCTTTCATCTCGACCGTCCAATCAAATCCACCTAAAGCATCACGGCTGCTAGCGAATTTCTTCATCTGACCTAACGAAGGCACTGCCGCGGTGGAAACCACCGTAACAGGATGTTCATCAGCGGCGGATACGGCGGTGGGATGAGATTTTCTTGATATGTTTCCTCCACTCGCCGGCGAGAACGAGAAGATACGCTTGATCTTCGAAAGACGACCTTTTTCATCTTCTTTGGTTAAAGACGAGGTTGAGGTTTTGGAGATTTTAGGAATCAACAACGGAGTTGTTTTGTTCTTTTTACCGGTGGGACATTTAGACTTACCAAGCTTGATTTGACCGATACAAGAGACTTTAGGTGAAGTAGGTTCGTCCCAAACAGCATCGCTTTTATTTCTTCTAACCCGAGCCGCGTTAGGAACCAAAGGAACCATAGGACCAGAGAAAAACATTTTGTTAGCCGCCGTGTTATTGTGGTGGTTGTGGTTGTGGTGGAGATCTCTTCCGGGACTAAACGGTGGAACTCGATTTCCAAACGACATCGCTTTAGGAAGCATCTTCAAAAGCTTGTTCTTGTTCTTAGGTTTTGAAGTCGAAGTATGATGTTTAATGTCCATCGATGAGCACAACAGCAAAATTCGCAGACAAGAACAGAGGATTCTTGGTTTTATGTTTGGTCTATTATGATGTGAGAAGAAGGAAAAAGAGAGGAAATGAGTTTGAAAAAGTCAATGATGAGTGCCTGGATTGGAGGAGTTTTGGTCAAATGTGAGCTAAAAAGGAAGAAGCTAGACCTTTGTGATTGTGTTTATACGGCCGACTTTATAAAATCAAAATGCGAAAGACATGTTTGTTTTTGTTTCAAGTTTCTTCTTTTTGTTACTATCTAAAAGCTAAAGGGCACATTTTTTATTTTCCAAGGATGATGATTCTCTTAGTTAATTACTAATTTGACTTTAGTTTGGGCCTCATTAGTCCAAAAATCAAAATAGTATAACATTTCTTTAAGAAACGGTGGTGATATTTGGGACCTACATGCAAACAAAATTCAGCCATATGGGAAGGTAGAAGTTAGAACTTATCAACGATGCATTGAACTAGTTGGAGCTTTTTAAAATTCTACTTTTTGTTAATTAGCATTTATAGTTCTGTAATTGAAACAATTTAGAGAAAAAAAAATGTATTTCAATCGATAAACATTTTTTTCTTCATATATTGCATGTTTGAATTCTGATAATAATATTAACTAACACAAATCATTCAGTTACACGTTTTGGTAAATGGTTGTCTTTAATTAACGAAACTACTATATTTAAAATCCTACGTAGTCTTTATTAAATTACTGAAACCTTGTCTAAATTAGTGATATCTTGTGGTTTACTATTTCGTGCGTCAGAGAAAATAAAAAAAATGGGAGAATAGTAGTCCACCTAGGCACGAACAACTAGTAGACGATTAACAATGGAGAAAAAATGTGATAAAAACGAGTCAGACCAAAACAATGGAGAAAAAATGCGAATCTGTCCACTGGTCAGGATTAAGAAAATCATATTATTGAAACACGATGCTAAACCACCATATATTTTATTTAAAGCTACCTAATTATAGTTTGGTGTCTGTTAGCTATAAGTTAAACCACGATGGTTCGGAGGGACTTCTGTAATTGGGACCGGACCATCAAATTGGTCCAAAACACAACTCGTACCAAACCAAGCTACAGTAATTTGATTTCAGTTAATACTGAATACCGGTTTACACTTAACCATATTGCACATCTTTTCATTAATTCTTCGTCATGTGCTTCTCACGTGACCGACTCTTCTTCTCCCATCTCTCTTTTTTCTTTAAATCAGAAACTTGTCTCTTGCCCTAGATTTGGATTTTCGATTTCAGTTCTCTCTGACTCGATCCTTTCTCTAGCCATGAATTCTTAATTCAACGGTTGGGGATAAATTATGGTCCAATTAGATCTGCAGAGCTTTATACTCCGGGCTCGAGTGCTTAAACTTTACCGACAAGCATTGAAGATAGCTCACAGAGCTCCTGTTCATGTTAGAGGTTCGTGTTTCTGAAAACGATTCCATATCTCTGCTTTGTCTATCTATGAATTCATCACATACAAGAAATTTGCGTTCACCGTAGATCCATTTGATACAAAATCTCGAAATCTAGGGGTTTAGTAGATTTTGGAGGATAAGCTTTTGTTTGATTCGTGTGTTCATGTTTTGTAGGGGAATTGAAACAGACGGTTAGGCAAGAGATGGAAAAGAACAGAGACTGCAATGACAAACAAAAGATTCGGTATCTGATTAGTGAAGGTTTAGAGAGAATTAAAGGACTCGACGAGATGTTGGATATGCAAGGCCATTAGTATTGGTGTAAGATGATGTTCTTTTACATTTTTTTGTAGCTTCTGCTTGCTTTAATTGAATGTGATGCAATGCTAGATTCTTCAAGTAGAACGTCTGGTCATCTTTGTGGTTAAGCTCTTTCTTGCATATGTTCTTTATCTCTATTGATTGATATTTTTCAGCGAGCAATATCATATTTTTTTCCTACCTGGACTTCTAAGATGCTTTTAAGATTTCTGTTCTTTTTGACGTTTTACGCAACAATACAACTTCTGTTGTAGTCATCTTCTGCTGCAACCCATCCACAAAGCTTATCATGCGAGATTAAACACTTTCTCGATGGGTTGCAAGAGAACATCACTAAAATAGAAGTGATATTGTTGGGAAAAACGTCAACGAAAACCGATATCTTAAAAACGTCTTACAAATCCAGGTAGAAGAGAATATGATGTTGCTCGTTGAAAATAACAATCTATAAAGATGAAGAAGATACCCAAGAAAGAGTTCTAAACACAAAGCTGATCAAACGGTCTATTTGAAGAGTTTGACATTGCATCATCTTCAATTAAGTAGAAGGTAAAAGGAACATTTTGGTTTCTCATAATTATTCAATAGCTTAAAACATCATCTGTTTGACATAGCTCTTTAGTCGTTTTGTGTCTTCGACTTCTTCTCTTTTCGTCGTTAGAACTATGTATTTGGAGTTTGACCTAGCAAATATCCATATACATCTGCTTTATTTAGAGTTTTAAACTCTTACACTTCATGTCCTGTGAATGTGCAGCAATACATTTTTCTTCTTCTCAATGCACGTAAAAGATTGTTTGTTTGAACCCTTTTCTTGCTAGCATCTTTAAAACCTTTATAGCATATTTCAAATTCTCATCTTTGTGATGAGTCATGACGATTCGCGTTCAAAGGTAGAACTAGAAAAATGCTTCTTTAAACGCCATATGAGGAAGCTAACTTCTCCCTCTGCCTCTGGAACACACAGAGGTCCAAAACGCTGAGTAGTGGTGCGTTTTAGGCTCAAATTTTATTTGAATCCGTCGTCGTCTTATTAGAAGTATATCATTTGCGAACTTAATGATTATATTGGGTTTTAAATGGGCCTAACAATTTTAGATCACTTGAAGCCCAGTCTGTTATTGAGCATGTTGTTGCCTATCGGAGTCGGAAATTTTCGATGTTGGTGTTGAGAGAAAGAGAGAGAGATGATGGCTGCGAAGCTTCAAAGATGGCGAAATCTGGCAGGTCGTCTAGATCTGATGGCTCGGAGAGATGCTGTATCGTCGAGACGATTCCTGCACGAAGGTCCAGACACCGTGGAGGAGCTTCTCGATAGACATCTAGCGAAGAAAGAGAAACCAATTATCGACGACGATGAGGCCGAGTTTTTGAATAGACGGCGTCTGACGAGCACGCGCCGGGAAGCGCTGAGTTTGTACAGAGACATATTACGAGCGACGCGGTTCTTCACGTGGATTGATTCTAGGGGAAATCTATGGAGGGACGTGTTGAGAGAGAATGCGAGGAAGGAGTTTGAAGCGGCTCGATTTGAGACGGATCCGGAGGTTATCACAAGGCTTCTGATCGGAGGAAGCGATGCAGTTTCGGCTGCTTTAGATAAGCTTGCGGAGAAGCAAAGGGAGATGATCGAGAAAAAACGCCGTGGTGATCAACCCTGAATGATCCTTTTGAGTTTAAAGTGGAATGCTTATAGGCTTTCGTAAATGGTTGCAAGAAGAAGAAGCTGAAAGATTTTTGGTTTCAAAGATCAGATTGGGTTTGATGCCATTAGTGTTGTAATTCACTTACACATTTCGTTTGTGAAATTATCCTTCATGTCATTGTAGAGTTTGTATACACTTTTACAAAGCTATAAAACAAGGCTTTTGATTTTAGAATAACTCTTTTGTATAAATTATGAGCTCCCTTGTTTAGATGAGGCATGTCTCGTTGTCTCGAGAGATTATTTTACCTGCAAGAAAGCAAGAACAAGAGTTCGATGTTTCAGTATAGCCAAAAGCTTTGTAACGAAAATAAAAGCTCAATGTATGGTGATGTTAGTTAGAAAGCAGAGAGTGTTGGTTTACTTTTTCTAATCCGCTTCTACGAAGCAAGCCTACTATCTCTGCAAGATCTGAAGGCGGTGGACATGAAAACTTTACAATTTCCCCAGTGCACGGATGTGTAAAGCTATCAAGGAAAACAGAGTAGAAAAAGCAGTTATTCACTGGTTTTTCGTAATCGAGGATTTAAGATCGAGATTCAAGTTCTCTTACCCGAGAACAATGGCATGAAGGCAAGGCCTATCCATTCTGGAAATCAGTTCTACGATCTCTTCTTGATCACTGCGGGAGACTCTTTTCTGCAGAAGAGAAAGAGCCATGCTTTTTGTTCCACCATACACTTCATCACCCAATAGAGGAACTCCCATATACTTAGCATGAGCACGTATCTACTTCAAATCAAGGTGAAAAAGAGAAACGTTTCAGATATCACAAGTTCAAAGCAGCTGGATCAAACAGATGACTTGAGGCAGTAACAGAAACAAAAAGGCCAACTCAAGCTCTTACAGACAAAGATGTGAAACTTAAAAAAACAGTTTATAGATTTTGAGTATTCCTTCATATGGACAGAGTTTCATACTGAACAATGTAACGATACCTGATGTGTACGGCCGGTTTCCAGTCTCCACTCAACCAATGCAGAGCCACCTCCAGCGAATGTTTCGATTACCTTATACCTAGGACAACATAAAAGAGCATTGTTTGAGCATATCAGTATCAGTTAACCACTCTTTAAGAGAGATTTTTTTCATTCTGAAGAATAGATGCAGTGTTATAATGCTTGGTGCACTTGTAAAAGACTGCTCTCATCACCTACTAGCAGCATGGCGGGCTCTTCCACCACTTACTCCTCCAGGTATAGCAGCCATACGTATCCGATTACTCGAATCACGACCAATCGGTATCTCAATACGCCCCTGTGGTGGAGAAGGAACTCCAGTAGTAAGACTTACATATACTCTCTCAATTGTGTGTAGCTTGAACTGTTCTGCTAAATGGGCATGAGAATGTTCATCCTGCCATTACACTTTTTCCGTTAAAATTCCGAAGAAGCAAGAATAGTAAGTAGTTCATAAAGCAACCACCAAAAGAGGAAGAAGAAATGAAAACACTAACCTTGGCTACAACAAGCAATCCAGTTGTGCCTTTATCCAGCCTATGAACAATACCAGGACGAACAGAAGTAGCATATGAACTAGAAGAAGTCGTCATCTCTTCATCATCTGAAAAAGTTTCTTCATCGGAATCATCATCTTCCGCGTTCCAATAATCAACACAAGGAAGACTGCAATGGTGAAGTATGCCATTAACAAGCGTGCCAGTAGGATTCCCAGGCGCAGGATGAACAACCTAAGAATTGGAGAGATATTCTTAGAGATGATGCTAAAGTCATAATCTAAGTATATTGAGAGAATATGATTACCATGTGAGCTGGTTTGTTAACAACAAGAACATGTTTATCTTCATAAACTATATCTAATGGTATATCTTCAGCTTCAGCTTTCAAAGGTTGAAGCTCTGATATTGTACAATTAACCTCATCACCTGCTTTGACATTGTGAGAAACCTGGAAGAGAGTGAGAGAGAGATTGAAAAACTTGATTAAGAAATTGAAATTTGTTTTGAAGAATCGAATCCGAAGTTAAACCTTATCAATGACTCGACCATTGACGGTAACGAGTCCCAATCGTATACTGGACTGGACACGAGCTCGACTAACGCCATTGACACGAGAAGAAATCCACGAATCAAGACGAATCTTCCCTTTCGCGACGTCTACTGTCTCCTCGATTCTGAGTCCGGCGTTATTAACTCTGGGGATGATAATCTCCGTCGGACTACAGGCGACCAAATTGGGGATTCCGGAACTTGCTCTGACGAAATTCGAAACCCTAGGGAAGAAGGAGAAGAAGAGAGAGATAGACGAAGAAGAAGAAGAAGGATAACGAAGAGATTTGACGGAGGTTAACGAGAAACTCGGCAGCTGAGAGATTGAGAGCATCGTCGTCAACTTCAAAAATCTTGTTTCGCTTCTGTGAGGGAAAATCAAAAGCCTCTAGATAAAATAGAGGGTTTCCCACTCTTTCTTTCTTTTGATGCCGTTAAAAAACATAAACAAAGCTTCTAAAACGCTGGGCCTATTATAAATGGGCCTTAAAAGGCCTTTTTCATTTTAATTCATACTGATGCAAGTACAACATCTCAAGGAAAATAACATAGGAATGCATTGCATTCGCATTTATTATTAGTTTACTTTATATGTAGTAGAAGCAAAGCATCCATCATTATAGTTGATATTCATCTAATCAGTGTCGGATTTGAATCTGTAGTTCCTTTTCTCATCATCGCCACAAATTCCTCGTAGTTTATCCTCCCATCCTATCAATCATCATCATTATTATTAATCATTTTGTTTAACATTTATCATCATCTTTAGACCGAAATAAAAACAACTAGAAATAAATGTCTTTCTTACGTTGTCCGCATCAACATCATCGATAACTTCATCTATGGTCGCATCATCACCCATACCATACTGAGTCATGGAATGTTTAAGCTCGTCCCTTGTGATAAATCTGATTTAAAAAAAAACAAGAGTATGTTTTGAAGACTATTCGATCTTTAATGTAGTAGTTGTGTTCATTATGGTCAAGAAGGAGATGGTTATAAGAATACAAACCCGCTTCTGTCTTTGTCGAAGAATTTAAATGCTTCTATCAAATTCTCTTCTTTCTCCAATCTATGGCGATGCATTGTTGCAGTTATAAACTCAATGTAATCAATCGTCCCACTTTTGTCCACATCAGCCTATAAATGAACAAAAACCATTGAGAAAGTTTTAGCTTTTGATGATTTATTTTGCATGGTTTAATAATTAACCAATTGGATTTGTTCCCTATTCTTACAGCTTCCATGAGTTGTTTGATTTCAGATTCTGTAAGCTTAGATCCAAGACGATGTAACCCGCTTCTTAGTTCATCAAAAGTGATGGTGCCACTTCCATCTGTATCCATGTTCTTAAACATTTGCTTTAATCCCTTTATCTCTTCTTCCGATAAGTTTTCCGCTATCACCTAAAAAAAGAAAATTATTACGAATTTTAAACTTTTTCATATTGATCTTGAAATCATTTTAGAGATGGAGAATCATTAAATAAACCTTCAAGGCAAGTTTCTTGAGCTTGTTCATTGCGCGGAACTGCTTCATCCTAATCAGAACAGCGCTATCGATTGGTTTATCTGATATTTTGGTGTCTGTCATCCATGGATGCTCTGTTTTTTTTTCGATAAAAATGCGCAACAAAAGATTGGTTAGCAAGGACTTAGGAGCAGGAGGTAGAATATGTTACAAATGTATACGTTGCAAACATACCAAGTGCTTCAGCTGCGGTAATCCTTCTTTTAGGATCTATTGTCAACATTTTTCTAATCAAATCTTTCGCGCTTTCTGATATAGTAGGCCAAGGAGAAGTTTCAAGATCCAGCTTGCCTTCTAAGATCGCCTCAAATATAGTCTTCTCGGTCTCTAAACAACATTAAGTAGTACCAGATATCAAGTCTCCAACATTCTTCAAGTTAATTCTATATGATAATAAACTTTAGATTCATTTTCTTTTTGTTTGCATACCTCCCCAAAATGGAGGAACACCACTGAGAAGAATGTAAAGCATGACACCTGCACTCCATACATCGATCTCTTTCCCGTAGTTTCGATGTAGAACTTCAGGTGCAACGTAGTATGCGCTCCCAACTATATCTCTATACACTTTACCTACAAATATTAATCAAACTTGTAAGGGTTTCAAAATACAGAACCAAAGTTTTAGCTAATTTACATTCAAACAGCTTCTTTTGATTTTTTGGTGTGAATCAAAATGTTCAAAAGAATACTATTTCCCTATAAAATGATTTCTGTTTTTGTTTTTTTGTCAACTTTTAATCTTGTGGGAAACATCTGTTGACTTGGGTTGACCCAAGTCGTTTTCGAAGTTGACTTGGTGTCCCACACGGAGATACAATGTCGCTATCTTTTTTTTTTATTGATCCTAACACAAGTTTAAACATTATGGTTTATCTCCTAAAACACACTAACTACTCAATGTAAAAGCAAAGACAAATCTTTGAAACAAGAGTCTAGACACTTAATTTGGTTCGTAATATTTCCTAACACGAGAAAAGAAACATCCGTAATTAAAAGTAATCAAGAAGATGACTTTACCTTCTTCGATGAAAACAGAGAGTCCAAAATCTGTTGCTTTGATGGGAGAATCTTCTTCATTACTAACAAGCAAGAAATTCTCAGGCTTTAAGTCTCTATGAACAACGCCCATGAAATGACAAACATGAACAACATTAACGATCTGTCTGAAGATATTAGCAGCTTCCTTCTCAGAGTAACTTCCTTTCTTGATGATACGATCAAAAAGCTCTCCTCCAGAACAGAGCTCCATAACCAAATGAAGATTGTCTTTGTCTTCATACGCACCTCGAAACTCGACGATGTTTGGTTGACCAGTGAGGTGTTGCAAGATTATGACCTCACGTCTCACGTCTTCGATGTCTTTGCGACGTATGAGTTTACGTTTTGAGATGGATTTGCAGGCGTATTCTCGGCCGTTGGATTTGTCTGTACATTTGTAAGTGATTCCGAATTGGCCACGGCCGAGTTCTTTGTGGAGGTCGTAGAGAGCTGAGAGATCGATCATTGGTCGGTTTAGGATTGGACCGATGTGTGAACCGGAGGAGGATGAAGGAGGAGGAGGAGCCGGTTTGGGTTTGGGCTGAGGATTGGAGGTGGGATTACTGGTTTGAGCTTGAGAAACAGTTGGTTTAGGGAGAGGTTGGTAGTGATGAGGAGGGCTAGAATCGGAAGAGGAAGAGATTGGGATCTCATGGGTTTGTGATTTGCAAAATTTGGAGAAGCAAAAACCCATAATTTTTTTTCTAAGAAAATATTTTGTTCCAATGTTTTTGTTTCTCTGGTTTTTGGTCGTTCTATGTTGGTTTTTAAGCATGTGAGCAAAGTAGATCGGTCTTCGACTCCTTGGTCTTATTCTTTTGGTCCTTATATTGTATGTTTTTTTTTTTGAAATAAAGGGAAGATGAATACATAAAAATGGAATTTAAAAGAAATAAAAATAATGTTGCCTTTGTTTGGTTTTGTGGGGGGTGCTTTGCTTTTGCGTTTAGAGAAGGTTAGGGTATCATTTTCCCTCAATGTGGCCCTTTGGAGGGGGTCTCTCTAGGTTCTCCTCTTCCTTTGCAAAAAGATTAATCAACGCGTAAACTTAGATGCAAAGTGTTATATATTTGTGAATTAAAGTTAAGATGATTAATTGATTATAGATAACGAAGATTGCGATTGATTGGAAAATGGACAAAACTCGGTTTAGTTCAATAATCTAATCTAATTGATTCCTTTACTTCGGTGGTCTACCGTGTCATCATGATTGTTTTCCACAATACTAACTGCAATTTTAAAGATACAAACGCAGTAGATTTTCCAAAGGCTATTACTAATTTACCACTTTTAGTTTTTTTACTTTATCCACAAAATGGATTGACAATGTACTTATAATCCCATTTATGAACCAATCTCAATATGGAAGAACAAAAAAAAAAAGGACCAATCTCAACAAATTCGTACAAAAAAAGGGAAGGAAATACAATACGACATCGTTTTATCGATTTTTTATTTTGACTGTGGAACACAACTGAACCAAAAAAAATATCACCAGATATGGAGAAACAGAATATATAGCTTTTCTTTGTTTTCCTTTATATAATACGCACCAAATAATACACATAACAAAATTCACACTTTTCCTCTCAAAAGAGTTTCGATAAGATAACCTCCATTACCTCATTTTAAGTGGTTGAGTCGCGGCTGTAGAATTGGTCAAGTGTCTTTGCAGGGATACGGTGAAGAAGCTCCCGCGGGAAGATACGGAGCAATGTCCAAGCCAAGTCCAGCGACTGGAAAATGTTGCGTGTGTCATAAGCTCCTTGCATCACAAACTTCCTCTCAAACTTATCCAAAAACTCTAGATAAAGCAGATCTTCTGAAGAAAGTGCTTCTTCTCCAACAACAGCTTTCATCGCTTGAACATCTTTCCCGATTGCATAATTCGCATACAGCTGGTTCGACACATCTGAATGATCTTTACGAGTCATGCCCTCGCCAATAGCACTCTAACAGAATGAGAAACAATACGTTACTAAGATCTGGAGATAGAATGCAAAGGGTATTAAACAAAATGGAGTTACTTTCTAACCTTCATCAGACGAGAAAGAGATGGAAGCACATTGATGGGTGGATATATCTGTTTTTCAGGGAAGAAACAAAGATACATTCATTCAGGGCCGCAATCATAATATAAGCGAAACCAGTAAGATCAGGGCCTGGCGGTAGTTATTTCTTACCTGTCTGTTGTGCAGTTGCCTATCGATATATATCTGACCTTCAGTAATGTAACCAGTAAGATCCGGAGTTGGATGAGTGATGTCTGATAAATTTTTTTAAAACAACGAGTCAGAACTGAGCTTTCTCAAAATACAAAACAGAAATCTGGGGATTGTTTTAAAGATGTTTTTTACCGTCATTGGGCATAGTAAGGATTGGGATTTGGGTGATGGAACCTTTTCTTCCTTCAATACGCCCAGCACGTTCATAAATAGTTGCAAGATCAGTGTACATATAACCTGGATATCCACGTCTTCCGGGAACCTCTTCTCGGGCAGCGGAAACCTACAAGTTTCTCAATCTTATTATCAAACCTGAAGAAACAAAAACACATGATATAAAGGGACTACTCCGGTATTAAAGATTCATTTTACCTCACGAAGAGCATCAGCATAAGAACTCATATCTGTCAATATAACAAGGACGTGTTTCCCACATTCATAAGCCAGATATTCAGCTGTTGTGAGGGCAATTCGAGGAGTGATGATTCTCTCAATGGTTGGGTCATTGGCCTGTTGGAATAATGGAAGGTCAAATCCGTTTTAAGTAAGAATATATAAAAATACTAAATATGCACCATGAGATGTCAATAAGCTATAGAAGTCCCAACTAGTAAATTTACCAGGTTCAGGAAAAGAGTAACTCTCTCCATTGATCCATTTTCTTCAAAATCTCGCTTGAAGAACTGAGCTGTCTCCATGTTCACACCCATAGCTGCAAACACAATTGCAAAATTGTCCTCTCCATGATCCTAAAAAGACAAGAGGGAGAGAGAATAATTGATATTATGAGACAGCCAACGTTGAATAGAAATGTCTACAAACAAGAAATTCAATTTTGACAACAACTGAGTTTCTTTTATAAGCCTAGAGCATCTCAAATTGACGACCTTTAGATGCAACCACAAATCCATCAACACACACGTAGAAACAGTAACAACTCAAATAAGTGCTTTAGCGAATTGTTCTGATCATAGAGAAATAAAAGATATATTTGTGGTGGTACAACTACAAGTTATAAAGGATTACCTCAAGTAGATCAACAGTCTTTTCCAAACGTTTGACAAGACCAGCCTGACGACAAATCTGAGCAGCTATTTCATTATGTGGAAGACCAGCAGCAGAGAAAAGCGGAATCTTCTGTCCACGAGCAATGGAATTCATGACATCGATGGTGGAAATTCCTGTCTGTATCATCTCTTCGGGATAGGTTCTTTCACTGGGGTTGATTGAACTTCCTAAAATAACACAGTGACACATTTTAGAAAAAATGAAAACACATATACAGAATATTGCGGCAGAGATCTCATCAATGGAGAAATTTTCCTCTTTGAAGCTCACCAGAGATATCAAGGTATGCCTCAGGCAAAATAGGAGGGCCATTATCAATCGGCTTTCCTGAACCGTTAAATATGCGCCCAAGCATGTCCAATGACACAGGAGTTTTCAAAACCTGCAACACACAAACCGGTTTAAAAAAAAAATATGCAGGAAGCAGAAAAATCAACCAATCTGAGAAAACGCAGGATTTATGGTAAATTACCTCTCCTGTGAATTGCACAGTGGTAAACTTGTTGTCAATTCCAGATGTTCCTTCAAAAACCTGAAACCATTAGATGAGTAAGTCACTGAAGAAGTAACTAGATTCGTATAGTTTGTGTTTACGTATTATTCAATTCTTAAAGCGGACAAAAAAAATCCTAAACCTGCACAACTGCTTTCTCGCCGTCAACTTCCAAAACCTGACCACGTCTCGTTGATCCATCTCCTAATCGAATATTAACAATCTCCTGGTACTTTGGACCCTGATTTATCATTACAGTACAACAAGTGTTAAGTTTCCCTCACAAAGTAAATTAGCATTGCTTAACGGTCAAATGATGTTTCCTACCTTCACTTTATCAAGAATGACCAATGGTCCAGCAACACCAGAAACAGTTCTATACTCTGTAATTCAAAAGACTCATAAATCAGTCTTATACTAAAGAAAGATAGCTAACAAGAACATTGACAAGCAAGGTCAAAAAGAGCCAGAGTACTAGAAAATCCCTATAAAAACCAGATTTGGAGGATAAGTATGATCCATGATCGGTGACTTACCCATGCCGATCTCCAGAGTCCCTTCTTCGATGTCGAGATCATTCGCCCCCATTTTCACAGATCAAAGATAAACCAAATCGAAGCCGCTCCTGAAATCAATCAACGACGCAGTCCACAATACAAAATCAATTGAAATTTCGATCCAATCATACAAACTAGAAAATCCGGGGAAAGTGAAAGAACTTGGGACAAGGAAACAGACGTAATAGAATTTTCCGATGATCTAAATCCAACAAAATACGTACCTGGAAACTTTCGATTCGAGCAGAGAGAGAGAGAGAGTTATGGTTTACGAGTCTCTCTGTGAACGTAGTTGGACCATATCTCAAATCTAACATTTTTGTAGAGAGAGCCTCTTATTTACGTGTATTTACATTTAAAGACCAAACTCTATAAATTGCAAAAATGTCTCATACAAGATTGCGTTTCTGCCACGTCAGCATTAATGAAATCAACGGTTAGAGATGAAAGAGAGGCAACTGTCTCGCTTTAGCTTCCGAGCAATCGTAGCCGTTGCTTACATTCACCGACACCGTCTCTCTGTTTTTAATAATCTCCGGCGATCCTGGGACGAGAGAAAAAGTGTGAGCTAGAGAATAATGATTCGAACGATTTTGTTGTTCCTTGTCGTCGTCGTCATTGAGACGCGAGTACAAGCGCAGCTAGTGCCGCCGGTGAAGCAAGATGGTTTCGTTTACCCACTGGGTCATCGTTTTGACCCGGATACTATACTAATTGAGGCGTATTTTGACCCGGTTTGCCCGTACAGTAGAGACTCTTGGCCTCCACTGAAGCAAGCTCTTCATCACTATGGATCTCGCGTTGCCTTTCTCCTCCATCTCCTTCCTTTACCGTCAGTACTCTTAGTTCTCTCTTCGCCTTCAGTTTCTGGTTTGAGCTTAAATTGAGATTGTTCTTAGCTTAATTTCAATATTGTTCTCCTGAACCTGAAGCTACCTCATGCCATTTTAGTACCTTAATTCATGTATTATTGATTCTTACTATCATATTCATCTGAATCTTTTTTCTTGGTTTCGGAAATTGCAGCTACCATGACAATGCATATGTAACCTCTCGGGCCTTACACATTGTGAATACCGTAAACGCCAATGCTACTTTCAGTTTGCTGGAAGGGTTCTTCAAGCATCAGGTTTGTTCAATGTTAATACTAAAAACTTGTCCCATCTTGTAGAGAGCTAAAACTTAGCTATTTGTGAATTTATCTGAAGCTGCTGTTTATTGTTTGCATTTATTAATGTTTATCTGGTTCACTGAAACTGTTTTTTTGACAGTCATTGTTCTACAACGCGAAAACAAACCTCCTGACAAGAGCTGCAGTTGTGGAGAAAATAGTCGAACTTGGAACAGTCACGTTGGGAAAGTCATATCAATCGGTCCTCAAATCCGGCTTCAGCGACAAAAAATCAGATCGTGCTACCAGGGTTTCCTTCAAGGTAATTCCTTTAGTAACTAAAATTTCTTACAGGAAGGTCATTGGCTGCATAGTCATCATCTTATTATGCTGCCTTGCATCTATATCCCACACAAGAAAATGAGTAGCGGCAGCCGTCAGGGCAATAGAAGAATACTGAGTTTAATGGCCTGAATCTTTGCCTATCAAGTATAAATTTGAGACCTATTTGTCGATAATACCTCGTGGCTGTTCTCGGTTACCTGAAAATGAACAATAGTAACTTTTAGTTCATATTTTGCTTTCGTGGCGTTGTGTGTTGCAGTATAGCGGTTCAAGAGGGGTTTATGGGACACCAACCTTCTACGTTAACGGGTTTGTATTGTCTGATGCTGCTTCCCCCTCAAATTTTGGAGGATGGAAGAAAATCATCGATCCTCTGGTTCAAGCACATAAGGTGGAAGATAACTTCATTCCCTTCCTTGGAAGATCTTAAGTGCTTTTACTGTGTCATGCTACTATACCACTATCTGTAAACTGTAATGTATAAACTTCTTCAAAATTTGTATGTTGTTCATTGTAAATTTGTAATAAAGGAAAGTGATCCATATAAAAGTTGGCCAGCCCAGTTATATCAAACAGAGATTGTATTGTAATACATGGCAATAATTTTTGTTTTTTTTTGAACGTGTAATTTTTTTCTGTCTAGACAATCAATTTATCAAATGGACTTTTGATTTGGCCATGTAATACTTGTAATCTATTGCTTTGGGTTCTACTCTATATTAATGTAATAAAAAAATATATTTAGAAAAAATATAATTATCAAAATCACATGTTGAATTTATTGTTAAACTCCGATATTGCTATTTATCTAAATAGATTTATTATTTTTGTACACCAAATTATCCATATCTTAAAACTGTGGCCTACTTTTGTTTTAAAATAGTAGTGAACCAAACGAATCCTCCATCTGTCTTGGTGTTAACGACGTGAGAGGAAGTGTGTCGATGTCATGTGATCATGTGAGAAAGCTTTTGTTAATACATATCTGCTGATTCACAGCCGAATCTATAACCTCGACGGAAAACATAAGCTAAGGTACATTTTTCAGATAATTAAAACAGAATTAATGGACATTTTTACTTGATTCTCTATTTAAAAGGGCAAAAGAATGACTCATTATGTCATCATTTCACCGTTAATTAATTACAACTAGTCTTACATTGTTTCATTTTTCAGATTGTACAACAACAAAAAAACACTTAAATGCTTCTCACGTTTGTTGAGTCAAGACTCCCAACAATATTTTATTTTGTAATTATGGATGGTTACAACAATTATATTGTAACTAAAATTCAAAGAGGCATTACTTTTCTTTTCTCCTAAGAAAACATAGATCTCAGTTTCTTGTTGAAGTTTGGCAGTTATTATATGGTTGATCATGAAATTTTCGAAACATTATTAAATATTGGTGGTACAATTAGATTTTTTGCGTAAAAGCTGATAAATTTTTAAATGTTCGTCTAAAGCATAGAGATAACACAGACACGTTCTTCAAATATTAAAATTAAACTACAATTTTGTCTTTTTATTATATTTATAGATTAATTAATACTAGTTAGTACCGAAAATCCAGATTTTGTCTATTAATAACGTGTAGATTTGGTTCTCATCTAAACAATTAATTTTATTTTATTTTCTGAAAAAGCCATTTAGACTTTTTCCTTCGCATTTTGTGCAACTGGATAATCTTCTTCAAGTTTTTATTACAAAGAATTTGGACTTTACCCTCACCAAAAAAAAAGGCACAACTAAACCGAAAAGATAAATGTAAGCCTTAATTCAGAACATTCCCGGTTAAATTTTCGGTTCAGAACCCAAATTACCGGATCTAATTTAACGAGTAACGAATAATCTGTTTTAAACGACTGAGGATGCTAAAATTAATAGGTGGTTATTACGGTTATTTTATCGGTTCAGTTTGAATAATCATGGTTCGGTTCAATTGGGTTTAGAACAAAATCACGAACCGAAACCGATTAGGGTAGTGCAACGTGTGTGTGGAAGAGAAGTAGTGCGGCTGATATATATCAGAGAGGCGCTTTGCATCAAAAGCTTCTTCTTAGGGCGTATAAAGGAGAAGAAACAAAGCCGTACAAAGAGGGCTCTTCCTGGGCACAAAAAAAAACCACCATTTTCGTTTTATCTGAATCTTCGTCTCTCTCGAAAGATCTAACCACAACAACTCCTTAAGGTAAAAAACTATCAAAGCTATTATGGATTTTTGAAGATAAATCCCGATTTTATTCCTTTTTCTTTCTGGTTTTTGTGTGTGTTTGCTACAAGGATTCGACAAAATTCAAAAACCCTAGTTTTCTCACTGATTTTCCTTTTATTTGGGGGTGATTCAGATGGATAAGTATCAACGAGTGGTGAAGCCGAAAGCGGATACGCCGATTGATGCGAACGAGATTCGTATCACTAGTCAGGGCAGGGCACGAAACTACATCACCTATGCGATGACTCTTCTTCAGGTATTCGATGAATCTGAAATGTGTTAATTCACAATTCATGGTTTTTCTTTTGTGGCGTGAGATATGGTTTAGGGTTTATCAACTGTTTTTGTCAAAGAAGTTTTGAATCATGAGATCAATTATATTGAGCTTTAATATAAGCTCTTTTGTAATCTAGGCGTTATATACTTTACAATTAATTGGAATTAAGAAGTGATTAGAGTTTTTTTGCTTCATTTATGTTAAGTCTAGAAGCTTTGTTAACATGAGTTTGCTTTCTGATTGAATAACTTTATGTGGTGAAAGATGATTTTGTTAACAAATTTGGTTTGTTTGTATAGGAGAAAGGGTCAACTGAAGTTGTATTCAAGGCAATGGGAAGAGCTATCAACAAAACTGTGACCATTGTAGAGCTGATTAAGGTATTTGTTGAGATTTTTCCTGTCCAATTCACAAAGTGTTGTTCAGATATTTGAAAATGTCTTTTTAATTTGTATTGCAGAGAAGGATTCCTGATCTTCATCAGAACACATCTATTGGATCCACAGACATAACAGACACATGGGAACCAACAGAGGAAGGCCTTCTACCGTAAGGGCCTATAAAACTTTTATAAAAGCTCATTTTGATTGTGCTCTACTGTTTCATGTTTTGTCACCATAGCAAACTTTACTTATTTCTTTCCTTTTTGTTGTGTATTGAAGTTTGGAGACTACAAGGCATGTGTCAATGATAACCATTATCCTATCCAAGGTTGAGCTTAATACATCCTCTGTTGGGTGAGTTTCATGTTTTGATGTTTTTGAATGATTCTTTTGTGGTCCTTAGTAATAATCAGATTCATACGTTATTTCTCAAGCAATTGTATGTTGGGAGAGGCTGTCTCTGTCCTACAGAAACATTGCTTACATTTTTTGACAACCTTCTTTATTGTATCCCTGATTTTTATAGGTGGCGTCATAACTTCTTTTTCTAATAATTTCTATCAAATGCTGTTTCAGGTACCAGTGCCCAATTCCTATTGAGATGGTGAAGCCAATGGGCGATATCGATTATGAAGGACGAGGTATGTGTCACTCTAAATGACTTTGTAAATCCCTCTTGTACTTTCTGTCTTTATAATTGTCCTTCTTCATTTTTCTTGCAGAGGGTTCACCTGGTGGCAGAGGGAGGGGAAGAGGAAGAGGAAGGGGAAGAGGAAGGGGGCGAGGCGGCAGAGGTTAGATTACTTTAGAAATGCCCTATATAGATCTCCATGCTTATGTGAATGTTGAGTATGATTTTGAACATATGATTCATGGATATTTAATAGTGTCATATTTCATTTTTTTGCTGTCAGGAAATGCTTATGTGAACGTTGAGCATGAAGATGGAGGTTGGGAACGAGACCAGTCCTATGGTAGAGGAAGAGGACGTGGCAGAGGACGCAGCAGTCGTGGTCGTGGAAGAGGAGGATACAATGGTCCTCCAAATGAGTATGATGCACCACAAGATGGAGGTTACGGTTACGATGCTCCTCCTCATGAACACCGTGGATATGATGACCGTGGTGGTTACGATGCCCCTCCTCAGGGTCGCGGTGGTTACGATGGTCCTCAGGGCCGCGGTGGTTACGATGGTCCTCAGGGCCGCGGTGGTTACGATGGTCCTCAGGGCCGCGGCGGTTATGATGGTCCTTCTCAAGGCCGTGGCGGTTATGATGGTCCTTCTCAGGGCCGCGGCGGTTATGATGGTCCTCCTCAAGGCCGTGGTAAAATAATCAAAACACTTGTTATTCTTTTTACCCGGTTTTTGAACTGTAATTGTGTGAATAAGCCATGAGTTTTGAATTGGTTTGCAGGGCGTGGACGTGGACGCGGAAGGGGAGGACGTGGAAGAGGAGGAGGTCGTGGTGGTGGTGGTGGTGGTGGATTCAACAACAGATCAGATGGACCACCAATCCAGGCAGCTGCTTGAGAGTGAGGTTTCTTTTACACAAACATAAAAAGAAAAAAAAGCCCAAGTCGTTGGATGTTTTTTTTCTATCTCCTTGTTCACTCTCTTTCTTTCTATGTTTGCTTCTTCTGTCCATCAAGAAGACATGTTTGCCATAAGTGTATCTCTTTCCCTTTTCTTTATCCATTGATTCACAGTTTGTGGTCTGTTTTGTCTAGAGTCGCTTAGGGTATAATATATGTTCAATTTATTTATGGTTGGTCGTCGTGTCTTGGGTTTTTGTTAGAGAAGAACTACTGAGGCATCCTCTTTTCTTTCTTTTTCCTTTCTGTTTTGTAGTTTTGTTTAGAGGTGAGAGTGAGACACAGTTTGGACAAATTAACTCTTTTCTTCTTTGGTTATCAGTTTTAATGTGATGGAACAGTTGATTCTTTTATTTCCAAAGGACCCCTGTAATGTTCAACTATTTTATAATCAGAGTTAAAAGTGGCGATGCACTGCGCACACGAAAGCAACTTTCATAAATCATAAATGACCAGTGAAGCAGAAGCCATCGATTCTCGAATTTGTTCATTGTCGGGTTATCTTCAAAATTCTAATAAGACAGACAATAAAAGTGGTCTATGACAAAGAAAGCTCATGGAATAATACCAAAAAAAAGAAAGCTCATGCAGTTAAACGACAGCGTATCATATATGACACTATAAAAAAAATTAACGCCGTTGCCGGGGATCGAACCCGGGTCACCCGCGTGACAGGCGGGAATACTTACCACTATACTACAACGACTTTGATGTTCCAGTTACTGATATTAGTAATATTAACAAATATGATCACAAATATAATATCTGTCTTGAAGGAAAAGAAAAAGAAAAAGGAAAACGTAGTGCTACTTATGTTCTTTAAGCCCTGCTCTCTCCTCAAATCAATTTTATCTACCTTTGTGAAGAAGAAGAAGACTGAGATTTGCGAGAAAAGATGACTCAAGACGTAGAGATGAAAGATAATCAAACCCCAACTCAATCCGTCGTCTCTGCTCCTACCTCCACGCTACAGAGTAAATCTTCATCTTATGCTTAAGTTTCGTTTAATCTCACATCGCTAGGTTAGTTTCAAAATTGAATTCATTGGAATGTTTTTTTTCCCAGATTTGAAGGAGATTGCTGCTCTGATCGATACCGGATCTTATACAAAGGAAGTTCGCCGTATTGCTCGTGCTGTGCGTCTCACCGTCGGACTACGACGGCAGCTCACTAGTTCCGTGATCTCTTCTTTCCTTGATTTCGCTTTGGTTCCTGGATCTGAAGCTCACACTCGTCTTGCTTCTTTTGTTCCCAAGGTATGATGTGTGGCTTCATGTAATTTTGCTTTTTCTCCCTCGGAACTGTGAGCTTATTAGGTTCTGTAACTTGCGGATTTTAGATTCTCATGCATTAGTGTTTAGACTTAATTTGATGCTATTACTAACGATTGAATCTATAATAATGGTTCAGAGTGATGAACATGACATGGAAGTTGATACAGCATCATCGAATTCTCAAGCTCCTCCTAAGCATTTACCTGCTGAGCTCGAGATTTACTGCTACTTCATTGTTCTTCTTTTTCTCATTGATCAGAAAAAGTACAACGAGGTTTACTTCTTTTATCTCTCTGAGGGTTTTCGTTTACATAGTTTGTTTATTAATCCTGCTGAGGTCTTAATGCGATACGTGGTTGTGCTTTCTTAACTTTCAGGCCAAAGCTTGTTCTTCAGCTAGCATTGCTCGCCTCAAAAACGTTAACAGGAGAACCGTTGATGTCATTGCTTCGAAATTGTATTTTTACTACTCTTTAAGCTACGAGCTGACAGATGATCTTGCAGAGATACGTAGGTAAGTAGTAGTTTACAGTCACTTTGTTTTCGTTATAACTTTATCATTTTAGCTCAACAGTCAATTATCTGATTAACGTGTTTCTCTTTCTCTTGCAGTACTCTTCTTGCTCTTCACCATTCGGCGACACTCCGCCATGACGAACTGGGCCAGGTGCGTAATTTTCAATATTTCCCAAACAATCAATTGTATGAAACTTTTGCTTTGATTATTAAAACTGCCTTTCATGTTGCAGGAAACACTTTTGAATTTGTTGCTCCGCAACTATCTTCACTACAATCTCTACGACCAAGCAGAGAAGTTGAGATCGAAAGCACCTCGATTTGAGGCACACTCTAACCAACAGGTAACCTCTCAATTATGCCTTCATGCATTTGGCATCGTGGCTTTCTAGTTCTAAGTTATTCTGTGTATATCTAATTCTCTGATGCCAACCTTTCATGGTCAATATCCCCAAATTGCATTCACATATTCTTTTTACTCTCATGATATGTTGCTATGCCATGCTCATGTTCATTTATGTATGTTGCACTATGGTTATAGCTTCTGTATTTCAGTTTTCTTGTTTCTCTTTCTGAAACTGCTCGCTGATCAGTTTTTCACAACAATACCTCGCGTTCTTTTGTTTACTTTATTTGAACCTACTCCTTGTTTCTTAGACACCCATATTCACAACAGTATATATATTCTCTCTAGCTGGAGGATACGCATCTCATGATATGATTTACAGTTTTGTAGGTACCTGTTTTACTTGGGGAAGATCCGGACGATTCAACTAGAGTACACTGATGCAAAAGAGAGTCTCCTCCAAGCTGCTAGGAAAGCACCTGTTGCATCTTTGGGCTTCAGAATTCAGTGCAACAAGTGGGCTATTATAGTTCGACTGCTGTTGGGTGAAATACCAGAACGGTCAATCTTCACTCAGAAGGGAATGGAGAAGCCTCTGAGGCCATACTTTGAGCTTACCAATGTGAGTTCATCTTTGCATCTGTGACATATACTGTAACTAATGTCCTCTTACTTATCATTGTTTGACTTTTGACAGGCTGTGAGAATTGGTGACTTGGAGCTGTTTGGGAATGTCCAAGAGAAGTTTGCAGAAACATTTGCAAAAGACAGGACTCACAACCTCATAGTCAGACTCCGACACAATGTGATCAGAACAGGACTGCGCAACATCAGCATTTCCTACTCCAGAATTTCTCTACAGGACGTTGCACAAAAGCTAAGACTGAACTCAGCGAACCCAGTGGCTGATGCAGAAAGCATTGTGGCTAAAGCCATTAGAGATGGAGCAATCGACGCAACCATCGACCACAAGAACGGTTGTATGGTCTCCAAGGAAACAGGAGACATCTACTCCACTAATGAACCGCAGACTGCGTTTAACTCGAGGATTGCGTTCTGTTTGAATATGCACAATGAAGCGGTTAGAGCGTTGAGGTTTCCGCCAAACACGCACAAGGAGAAAGAAAGCGATGAAAAAAGGAGGGAGAAGAAACAGCAAGAAGAGGAGCTAGCTAAATACATGGCTGAAGAAGACGATGATGATTTCTAGATTTGATTCAAATTCTACTGTTTTTGTCTGTTAACACTTTTGTTATTTCCAATTATCAGACGTTTTTCCTGTTATATTATGCACATCAGTTCTTTTACTTTAAGATAATAAAACAATATCTCAAAACATTATTACAAGTCCTCCTTCGGATTTGAATTTTCAGACCTCTATCAAATTTTGCTAAATAATTCACTGAAGAAGTGAAGTTTGTGTGTGTAATATAGAAGAAGAACATGAAACTTTGTTCAAAAAAAAAAAAAAAAAAAAAACAAAAACATGAACATAATTCAAACCCAAGATCAGTAGATGGGCCTAGTATAAGGCCCATTAGTTATCTAATTACAAATCGGCGAAGTAATTCCGATTGTTTTTTCCGCCGTCGAAGGTTAAACACTCGAAACGATTTTGTTCTGTGTCGTTTAAAACTTTCAAAGAATGGAGATTCAAGAGCCTGAGGTAGCGAAGAATCCAGAAATTGAGGATACAATCGAAGTAGCTAAGCAAAGGAGAAACGAAGAAGTAGAAGATTGCGACGAGCAACAACATAAGCAGCATCAAGCTGAAGAAGATGAGGAAGACGAATTGCGAAAGCTTCTGCTTTCAGATATTGGAGAGCTTCCGATTTCTCCTCCTTCAGCTACACAAGTCAATTTCGTTTCTTACTTCATTACAGGTTCTCAGATTTCAGCTACTTGTACCTTTTGATAGTGTCAAGTCAATTTAAACCCTTTTACAATGTTTTGCAGATTTTACGAAATCGGGTCATGATCAATATATTTACCGTCACGCAAATGGGTATGTCAAAGATTGTTCCTTTTGCTGTTTCATTGTGCTTATGAATATAATCTCTTTGAAATGATGAAAATTGGGTTTCTTATTTGTTTGATAGTTTGTGTGTAATTGGATTGGCTCCTACGCATATAGCTTTTAAGGATGAAGGTGGAATCACTAATGTCGATTTCAATGTCGGTAAGTCTGACCGTAGCGTCTTGAAAGTCTCCGGCAAGCGTAAAAAGGTGGCTTTCTCTTGATGGCCTCAGTCTTAAGACTTTTGCTAATTGTTATGGCTTGAAGTTTGCAGTTCGAAAATGTGTGTTCATTTGTCTTGATTGAGTCTAGATTCTGGCGTTAGCTAATGTATTTTTACTTTATGTTCTTGCGCAGAATGCTTTGCGCTCTGAATCGAATACAGCACTGTGCAAAGTTTCCACTGCAAAAGATTCCTACATTGTGAGGTGCAAAGCTTTTTCTGTTTACCTTTCCATGTCGTAAGTTAGGCCTGGGCATTCGGGTACCCGTTCGGGTTCGGTTCTTTTTTTTCGGGTATCGGGTCTATTCGGGTAGGGGGTCAAGACCCATTCGGGTATTCTAAAAATTCGGGTTCGGTTCGGGTTCGGGTTCGGGTCGGTTCGGGTATTTTAATAAAAAAGCAAAATACCCGAAAATAACCAAAAATACCCGAAATATTTTCGGGTTCGGATCGGGTTCGGGTTTTTAACTCATATATACCCAAATCTAACCGAAATACCCGATTTTTTGAAAATACATTGGTTACTCTTTACCCAAATATAACCAAAAATATCTAAAATACCTAATATATTCGGATTTATGATTGTAATTTTAGGTATTTCGGGTATTATAAATATAAATATAACTAATATTTTTAGGTGTATATTTGTATTCGGGTACATTCGGGTATTGGATTCGGTTCGGGTTCGGTTCGGGTTTTTTTCGGGTAGGAGGTTAGGACCCATTCGGGTATTTTTAAAAATCGGATTCGGGTTCGGTTCGGGTATTGTTCGGGTTTTTCGGTTCGGGTATTCGGTTCCGGGTATTTTGCCCAGGCCGACGTAAGTTCTCATATGCGAAAAAACTGAAGTTGTCTTTGTTCTGAGCTAGGTGCTGCGTTAAAGGCTCTCTCTTGGAGGTCAACGAGAGATTAATCAAGCAACCAGAGCTTCTTAATTCATCGGTAAGAAATAAGAGAAGCTATGTTTGAATTACCAAGCTTTCTCTTGTCTAACAAATCCCCAAAATTGATGAACCAATGTAAATCTCATGTTTTTTTTTGCTATGAGTCTCTATTGTTGCTGAATCTTCTATAACAATTTGAGCTCTATGTTGTACTTTTAATGTCAAGAATTTTGCTTATGGAATCAGTCGGATAACTAAAATATCATCGTTTCTTTGCTTTTATACATGAGTAGGATAAAGCTGTGATATTCTGTATCTTGATTCTTATGAAATCTAATTATTTCAGGCTGACCGGGAAGGGTATATTGCGATAATCATGCCAAGACCTGCAGATTGGACCAAAAACAAGGAATCACTGATAACTCTGGAGGAATATAAAGAAAAGAAAGAAATATCTTTATGATAGTCTGCCGAAACTTTGGAACCGTGTTTGCTCTGAAGCTGATGCCGATGATGATTAGGGCCATTAGGCTTAAGTCAGATTAGGTTGAGTATTTTGAAGGTCTTTTGCGGTCTAATCTGTTGAAGGTCTACAATATTTTATGAAACTGTTGTGTTGTGTTTTGGCTGACAAAACAATTTTGTAAGCAAAATAATTTTGGGTCTAATGTTCTTCATGAAACCTTTTTACTTTGCTGTACCAGAAACACGAGATTACAGAATATTTTTTTTTTTTAATTTTTCCCGGTAAGAAATTATATAATTCAAGCGTGTGTATCACAAAATTCATCTGTGATAAGTTTTATTTCGAGGAATTGTGTTTTTTTTTTGTCAAAGTTCAAAGTCAACTACAAATGGGAATATATTTTTTTTATATATAAAAAATTTGTAGATAAATACTAATTGAACTAGGATTAAGAAGGAATCCACTATATAAGTTTTATTTCTTATGTTTAGACTCAACCCTTTATTCAAGAGATCGAGAAACATTCTTTCCAAACCATTATAATCAGAATAAAAATTCAGTCTCAAACGTATTAAATCGACATATACTCATATAGTTGGATTAGTGCATTAGCTAGCAACCGTCCATAATGTCTAATTATCCAAGACCGTTTTCTATTACACCGTGGTTTCCTCTCCCGCAGTTTTCTTATAGACCTGTGTTTGGTAAGTTGTTAATTTATATATTTGTGTTTTCTATAACTATTTTGAGTTTTTAACTAACTTATGTGAGTAACAGATTTAGCTCATCTTCCAGAGTTAAGGAGGTTGGCATTAGACTCCAATTTATCTTCTTTCATGGTTTTCCAAATTGATTATTATTTTAGGTAAATACACTTTTATTTTGGTTAATCTACTTTTAATTATTTGTTTTTGAGTTTATAGATTTCTTAGAATATATTTACGTTGATTGATAATGTGCAGCGATGAAAATTTAGCAAAAGATTACTACTTGAGATCTCAAATGGATAATCAAGGATGGGTTAATATCTTCATTATTGCAGAATTTCCAAGAGTAAGTAACTTCAAAATTTAATGAATAATATCTATGTTTTTGAAGAATAAGGTGTATATTATAATATCAACTATTTTTTATGTTTTTCAAACCAGATCAAAAGCATGACTAATGATATTGAATTCATATTGCGTTCAATGAGATCATCAGCTACAGTTGAAATCCAGGTAATTTACTAATTACACGTAACAAAAGTTGTATAATGTTTTTTTCTGTATTTGTTTTACTTTTTTTTGCCACCAAAAGTGGATAACTATGAAATACTATTAGTTACTGAATGTCGAAACTGAATTGTGTGTAGAATCACAAGTTGAGAAAACGCTATGGATGGCAGAGGTGGATAATCCAGTGAGGCTCCATATACTGCTACCAATAATGAAGAGACCGATAGCGTTTAGTATCAATCGTTTGTGGTTACTAACGTTTAGTATCAATCGTTTGTGGTTACTAAAAACCTATGTCGTTTGTGGTTACTAAAATAATTATTACCTTTGTTCTACTGTAGAACTTCTACATGCCTTTGGGTTTTTTTTTTATATACAGTAATGTCAATCCACTTACTGTATATTTAAAAAAAAAAACCACAAATCTTCCGCTCTTTCGTAATTATTGTCGAACAAATTGTGCAAATAATGTTTTGCATCGTTGACATAGGGCTTGCGTAGTTCATGACGCTCATGTCAAAACCTTATAATACCAATATTAACCTCTTTAGCTAAGGTTCTATAAATGAGGAGACGATACATCAATCCGTTGTCGTCCAGCGGTTAGGATATCTGGCTTTCACCCAGGAGACCCGGGTTCGATTCCCGGCAACGGAGCTTTTTGTTCTGTTTTATTTATTTCTAAAACACTGGCACTTTAAGACATATACGACAAGAACAAGAAGGATTGTTTTCAATTTATTTGATCATATGCTTAATCGTAATGAAATAGATTACAACTTATCAAATTACAATGCTTTTACATTTCTTTGGCAATCTCTTTAAGCAATAACTTTTTAATCTTCCCTGTAGAAGTCTTTGGCAACTCTTCAACAAACGACACCGTTTTAGGCACCATGTAACGTGGCATCTTCTTCTTGCAATACTCAATAATCTCTTTATCTGTGGGTTTCCGGGTCAACCCGGGTTTTAAACTCACAAAAGCACACGGCGTCTCTCCCCAAAACTCGTCAGGTCTAGCCACCACCGCCGCTTCATTCACCGCCGGATTCGTGTACAACACTGCCTCCACTTCCACACTGCTCACATTCTCTCCTCCTGAAATAATCACATCTTTCGATCTATCTTTAATCTCTAAGTAACCATCTTCGTGAATCACTCCAACGTCTCCGGTGAAGAACCACCCGTTCTTAAACGATTTTTGTGTTCCGATCGGATCTTTTAAGTATCCGAGCATGATTGAACTTCCTCTCATCACTATTTCTCCGAACGTTGCTCCATCTCTCTCCACGCTCCGACCCGATTCTGGATCCACTACATCGATTTCGCTAAATCCGACGGTTCTCACTCCTTGCCGTGATTTCAATCTCGCTTGATCGCTCATCGGTAATCGATTCCACTTTGGTTTCCACGCGCAGGAGACGATCACACCGGCTGTCTCCGTTAATCCGTAACCGTGGCTAACGATGAAACCTAGAGATTCGGCGCGGAGGATCACGGTAGCCGGCGGAGCAGAACCGGCGGTTAAGAATTTGACCGGGTTCTTAAGAGGCTGATCAGATTCTTGACTCGCCGATAGAATCTGAAGCACTATTGGTGCGCCACACATGTGAGTCACGCCGTGATCACGGATTAGACGGTAGATTAACGGCGCGTGGAGTTTACGCACACAGACGTTAGTTCCTCCGACGGCGGCGATTCCCCATGGATAGGTCCAACCGTTAACGTGAAATATCGGTAAGGTCCATAAGTAAACCGGATTTTTCGGTACGGCCCAATCGGTTAAAGAATCAAGCGCCATGACGAAAATACCCCTGTGGCAATGAACCACGCCTTTAGGAAACGACGTCGTACCGGATGTGTAGTTGACCACAATCGGGTCCCATTCGCTTTCGGGTCGGATCCATTTAAAATCCGGATTGCCTCTCTTGACTAGATCACTGTACAAGTAACAGAATGTTGAACGCTCCGTCACTACAGCTCCTCCTCCCTCCTCCTCCTGGTCGGCGATTAGGACGAGAATCGGCGGATTGAGCAACGTAGCGATCGCTTCGACGGCGAGATCGGAGTAACACACGTCGACGAAGAGCAGCTTAGACTCGCAATGGCAGAGAATAACAGAGACGGTTCGTGCATCGAGACGCGTGTTGAGGTTGTTAAGGATTGCGCCACACATCGGAACGGCAAACTGAAGCTCGTACATCTCCGGTGTGTTAGCAGATAGGACAGAGACAACGTCGGATCTTCCAATTCCAATGGAAGACAGAGCAGACGCGACGCGGAGGCAACGGAGATTCGTTTCGCGCCATGTGTACACGGTGGAGTTGCCGTAAACGATGGAGGTACAGTCTCCATACACGGTGGCTGCTCTCTCAAGAAAGCCTAACGGCGTTAACGGTGACGAGTTTGCGGCACTTGGCTTCAAGTCCTCCATTTTCTTTAGCTCTTCTCGAGTGACCCCAATGTGATGCTAAACAGAATGAAGAGAGATTACAATGATAAGTGTTTATTGTATATTGATACATTTATATAGAGAAGTTATTTCTTATAGTAAAGATAGATACAAAGTTCAATGACGAGACCACTTGACTAGTCATTGTACAAAATGGCCTCATGGGTTCCCATGTTTTTAGATAAAATATGTAGTCTCAGTCTCAGACCACTTGAGTAGCCAAACAAACAATCAAAAGAAATATATTTTTGTCCATGTGATTGGAATCTTTCTTTTCTTATATGCAAACAAAGATCACATGTTATTGAATACAACTTAACGTACTTTGACAACGAATTCACCGTCTACAACTATAATACCAAAAACGTGACAAGATGTTAACAAGATACGAATGAGTAATGCAGATTATGTATATTGGAGTAACAAATTTTTTTAGTCCTGGCGTAAATGAATTTTAATACTTGCGAGTCTTTTACATTAGTTCTTAAGCTATCGTTTTAAACTATCATTGTCAAAACACTTGGTAATCGAAGATGTCCCATGATATGGTACTTTCATCACAGAATCTCACCGGTTATATGCATCTGAAGGAGAAGTAGAAGAGCAGCAGGGAATTATCAAAATTCTGCTTTTAGATCATACACCAACTTTACCCAATTTAGTTTCATTATTTCCATACTAACATTCCTAAAATCGAATGTTGAAAAAACCAGTAAGGACTTAAAAAGTGGCGATCAATTGATTCAACTCAGACCACCTCATCTAATGCCATGGAACTTGGAAGAAGAGACACAAAAGGAAGAGTTACAGAAGTGGAAAGAAAAGGAATAAGAAGATATTTGCAAGACAAACCAACACCACTCTTTTAAAATCTTCTAAAAGCACAAATTATCCATCCAACAAAAGAGTAAAAAACATTGATTCTTGAAAGAAAGCAAGAAGAGGGAAGAGAACATAGTCATGACTATTAAAAGCAACACTTGAAAACGGCAATAAACATAAGGAAGAAGAAACATTGGTTGCTTGCTGCTTTTGATTCTCTCTCAAGTTTCAATCATCATTCAAAAGCCCATTGGTTCTCTCTGCGCACCTCCTCTTCTTCCTCGGGTGTGAAGTCGTTCTTGATGTTGAACGTTGTGCGGATCTCTTCTGGAGTCTTCCCTTTGATCATATCGGCCACTGTCTGACATGTTAGGTCAAGCAAGTTCTTGATGTTCAGGTAATTAGCAGCCTGCACAAGATCCAATATTGTAAACCATTAGATCATGATCCGAATCCAAAAACACAGATATGAATAAATAATAACCCTAATTTCAATTTCAGGCGACGATTTCAATTCATTAAGAACCCTAACAAATACAATCTCAGAAGAATTCAATTTCTGAAACAAACACCTAAATTTCGAAACCCTAATTTCCCAAATCGAAAACCCTAGAATCCCAAAATCAAAAAACAAAAAGCAAAATCGATGAATCGAATCGAATCGAGGGAAGAAGAAACATACCAGAATGAGTTCAAAGAGGGTAGCCTGATCGATCTTCATAAACTCAGTGTCCCAGTTCTTGAGGTCTTCATCGGAGGTGGCACCATCGACGGCCTCGGTCTTGGCGGCAGCAACCTCAACGTGCTTCTTGCAATACTCGATCACCTTCGCGAGGATCTTGCTCGTGACGTTGGGAAGAGGGACTCCGTTGTCGACGCAGTCGTCTTCAACCATGTGGGCTATGGTCTGTGACTCGAGAGCCACCGCCTCATCAACCTCGAAAGATTCACCATCGGAACTCTTCAACACAATCTTCTTCGAAGACATCTTTATGGAAACGAAGAGAGAAGAAGATTTAGATTTGGGAGAAGAGATTTGTTCTTTGAAGAAAATTTTGAGAAGCGATGAAGGAAACAAAGGGAAGCGTCTCTCTATATATATTAGAAAAATCCCTAATTTTGATAAAGTCGGTTGATTGTTAAAAAAATAAAAAGTCATTCGCAACTCTAGGAAATAAGGAAATTGTTTTTAATTTCTTTTCTTTTTTCAAAAGATAAATAGAAAACAATCCTAATCTCATTGAACTTAACTTTTTTGTTGTTGTTAATTTCAATTAATGAAATTAGATTATGAAAAAAAACTTTAATGAGATTTTTTTCTATATTTATTTTGGAAATATTAACTATTGAGCAGTTCGTTTGTATTTATCTCATTAGTTATTATATAATTTTATATTTCCTTTTTTTTTTTCCTGTATCTAATTCCATAATTGTTAAAAATGCAAAAAATAAAATAAAAGTAAATCACTGTAGGATAAGAATGAATCAATCAAATCAGCTTTGTTAGCTTTAAAATCATGAATTTCTGAAACTTTTTTTTTTTAATAAGCTAACAATATGTCATACAATAATAATACATCTAACTATTTTTTGGTCAAGAGTCATACAATATTATGCTATGGATTTTATTCTCTTTTCATTTATTTCTTAATCAGTCTTATATTTTCTTAGATATTATCTTCAACTTTTTTTTATTTTTTCTTTTCTAATTATAACTAAATCTTATATTTCATCAAGATAAGGTGTGTCATATATTCATATGGTAACTTTTTAAAAAATGCATTCAGTTTTTTTAGTTGTAAAATATTTTCTTCGTTTGCATGTTTTTTTAAATTATTTAAAATGGACGTGTGTCATAGACAAAGCATTATAATTTTTTTATGACATATATCAAATTAATTTATATAATATTATTTTATCAATTTTTATTGTCCATACAAAAATTAAAATTTCCGAGAAGAGATCAAATTTTAAGGATGTTGCAAATCCAAACTTGTGATTATTTATGTGAAGTTTTGTGGATGCTTCTCTCCCTTTTGATGATTCGACCTAAACATAATCCTAACTAATGCCATGGTTATTAAAAATTTTACGAGACAATTCCAGTTTAATGATAGCTAACTAAGTAAAGTTTTTGGGATTCATCAAACTAAAAGGAGATCTTTTTATAGCCTAGTGTCTTTTGTAAAGTTGCCAGAAGTCAACAAAGAGCTTTGGATTGCGGCTCAAATGAGAGATCTTCATATGAGCAAATGGTTGGGATGTTTCAATATGATATCATCCCAACAAATCATAATCCATGGCTCTTAAGTTGCTTTATTACTTCTTACTAGTGTCCGGATTCATTCTAGAAGAAGATACATATGTAGAATACTAAATTTATTACCTAACAAAACCGTGGATGGAGGATGATGATTCTCACCTAACAAATTTTAGTATTTAACGTTTGATAGTTGATATATCTTAAAGATACTGAGTCTTATCATAAAGGTCCAAGGCCCATATCTGAAGTCAGAACCCAAATATGAATGCCAATGTAAGGTCCATTTATACATTTAATTATTTTTTGTTGGGTTCACCTATATAAATTCTGGAATTTTAAGCTTGTAATCTTTTCGAGATGGTAACCAAAACATGTTAAATGGGCATTGTAGACTTGTAATCTCTTTGTTGTTGTTAGAAAGCTAGAAATTTGAGTATATTGTTAGTTATATATAGCAAATTTAGAAAAAGTTAGAGAAATGGATCATGCGAGCATCTGTTTGAATTCTTCAATAATTATACTCTGCCATGCATCGATAACTACGCAATCTCCGTGATTACTCTTGATCTCGATTTATGATATTCAATAATCCAAATACTTAATTACTACAACTTATGAGTATCAAATCCAAACTTTACTTGTTTGTATATCGATTATCTGATTTATTTACTTGAATATGGAAATGCATACACTGTAAACTGTAAACAAAGAGTTTGTGAATATAATATATAGGACTCAAATTTTCAAAGTCTATTTGCAGAGAATTCACTCTACAACTCATCATGCTCGAATTCGTGCTCGATTTCAAACTCTTTCAGCCCATCGTGGAGGAAACTCGAGTACCACTGGGCTGATAATTTTTCGTGGCGCGTCAAATTATTTTTGTAATCGACGTAGTAGAGCCCAAATCTCGCGTTGTATCCATCTTGCCATTCGAAATTGTCCATCAATGACCAAAGAAAATACCCTGTAACATTTACTTTATCATCGCTGCATTAAAAACCCCGAAAAAAAAACATTAGTCATTCTGAAGATAAAATACCATTTTTATGGAACTAAAACTCAAAATATGATTTGTTGACAGACCAAATTGCTTGGTGCAAGCTCAAGAGATGCTTCTGGATATAGTATGTTCTGTGGTGGTCTGAGAGCGCAACTACAAGGCTTGAGTCTTGCTCGCCTAAATCCTCTCCGTATCCTTATCAAACATTCAAAACTCAATATTCATATACAAGTAAAGAAAAGAAAGATAAATAGAAATCGATCCCTAATATAATATGATTTTGATGAGATTAATTTAGGTCATAAACGTTTCTCTAACCATTCTCGGTGATCATGATTTCAGGATTCCCATATTTGTCCTTTATATATTTCAAGAGGCTCCTCAAACCCTTTGCGTAGACTTCCACTTTTGCAACATCAGGCTAAAAAAAAAAGACAAAGTATTTAAACAAATCATCAATTTTAATATTTTAATTTTAAATTGTAAATAATAACAAAAATAGTAATCATATACCTTGTTAGCAAAAGCATTGAATTTATCCACATATCTTGCTGAAAAAAGGGAAAAAATATAAATAAAATTAATCAAGTGAGAACATTGAAAACAGTCGAACTTTATACAAAATTAAGAAAACAGTCAAAACGATCGAGACTTACGTTCCCAGTCCACGAGGGAATCACTCTGCCAACTTGGCTGCGAAGGATCTGGCTCTTCGTCATGCAATGCAAACACTGAAGTGTAATAGTTGATTCCTACAAAATCAGCTGATTTTTTCAACTTCTCCTTTTGCGCCTCTGTGAATGTTGGCAGTCGATGTCCGACATGATCCTTCATTGATTGTGGATAATCTCCATACGTGGTTGGATGCAAATGCCTGCGAGATCAGAAGAGTATTTGTCACAAATTTTAAAATTTTGATACTAAATGGTAAAATATTAAATGATTTTTGTTACCATCCCAATATGAAGTCAATCAGGCCAGTTACAGGAGTTTCGTGCTCTTCTTCCGAGAGCTCATGAGACTCAAACCAAGCTGGACTGTGAGCAATCCCAATTTTACCACCTTTACACTATAAACAATAAGAAATAAATGTTTATAAGTACTCGTTAAATTACGTAAAATATTCACAATATTTTAAATGATATACTAGTTAATGTTTATATAGAAACCTTGTCGCATTTCCTAAAGGCATCAACGGCATCGGCATGTGCCAAGAGCATGTTATGACTCACGATATAAGCTTCGTGTCCTGACCGTCCATCGTGACACATATCTCCATGTTCTTTGATGTACTTAGAACAACGTCCTGGTGCTTTGTTCCCAATGTCGTAGCCAGCTCGACTGAACACCCATGGTTCGTTAAATGTGATCCAATGCTTCACTTTGTGACCGTACTCTTGGAATGTGAAGTTTGCATACTCCGTAAAATCCTTTCTGAATATATTAAAAAAAGTTTAATCGTGTTTGAGTTGTAGACGATTAAACAAAAAAAAATCATAATAAATTGTCAAAATTTAATGAAAATCTTACATTATGCGGTCGCTTAAGAAGCCACCGTATTCATCTTCTAAGTCTTGAGGAGTGTCCCAGTGAAAAACGGTAACTAATGGTGTTATACCTGAATTTTGAAAATAAATTGAGTTAGCATTAGTAATATTTTGATGTAATATGGAGTTTGTGAAGTTTAATTAGTTTATTGGAAAGACAAAAATTACCATTTGCGAGGAGCTCATCGATCAGATCGTGGTAATACTGCACACCGGCTTTGCTTATTCCTTTCTCCATCCTACCATCTGTTAAATTTTTTTTAAAAATTATGTTATCATTTACTTGTATTATAATCAACTAATGTTATGATCAACGAGTGAAATATAATTTGCTGAGATTCTTTTTAACTTACGGGGGAATATTCTGGGCCATGCAATGGAAAATCTAAAGCCATCAGTGTTCAGATTTTTCATCAACTTGATATCTTCCTATTGAATATAAATTTAAAAGTAACTTACTTTCAAAAGAGCTTCACAATCATATATATAAACTAAGTGTTAATAACATAGCTAATACCTTGTAACGATGGTAGAAGTCGACAGCAACGTCGGCATTGTGATAATTACATTTATCTGAAAAAGTTAGATTTAGAAAGAAAAAAAACAGATGATTTTATATATAATTGACAATTTTTTCGTAGGCAAATTGATTAAAAATGAGTGGAAGAGAGAGTGAAAGAGACGTGGGAATTTCTTGGTGTATACGTCCCACATGCTTGGACCTCTACATCCTTCATCTACAGCTCCTTCAACCTATTTCGTTTACCACATACATCACTAACTATTTATAGAAATTTCTAAACAATCACTTCACAACATAGTTTATTGATGTAAAAGTCCGTATATATAACTATAATGTACCTGAAAAGCAGCAGTTGCGGTACCAAAAATGAAACCTTTAGGGAAATTGGCACGAGTAAAGTGTATATCGGTACTAGAACAGGCATACTCATTGGCGACAGTAAGTGAGCCGGTCAGACCGAGGAACAGAAGTAAACCTAGGAGAGGAAATTTATGAAACCTCCCCATAAGTGTATCGAAGACTTGAAGAAGTGTAAATGGACAAATATGTTGGAAGGGGATTTTGTTGTTATATATAGTGACTATAAGACAATGGATTAGTATATGTATTTATTTTATTAGTTCTTAAAAATGAAGTAAAAGACGGGAAGAGGTAAGCCACGTGATTCACTTACGTGACCGGCAATGAATATATGGGAATGTCCAAGGAGATGAAAAGTGTGTGTTACGAAAATATAAATTGATTGTTCCATTAATTTGTTAGTAGAATTAATATTTTCAGTGAATTTATTTAATTTGATGATATGGAAAAATTGTTTTAATAAAATTTACAAAAAGTAGTAAGTGGTGTACTCAAACAACGAAAAAGGGTATATAGAAACAATGCAATCCGTGTGAAAGAAGAAAAAACAAAGACTACTGATTTGAAGGAGACTTGTTAGGCATGAGTCGCATGACTATACATTTTTTTTTTGTTGCTATATATGATGATGTACAATATTAACAAAACATGCGTGCAATATTAATCCCACCACATTTTGTGTATGTTGATTATACGACTCTCTAATTTGTTGAGGGATATATAATTCTGACACTAAGGAAAAACAAATAGCCACAGCAATTAAGCTAAAATCAAAATTTAATTATAATGAGATGTGTTTTTTTCTACTGTAAATCATTATTTTAAATGTAAATCAACATTATCGTCGTTTCTTCTTCCTCTGGTCCCGAAAACCTACTTGTATATAGTGCTGAACCACCTGTTTTGTATTTAAGACGAATCAAAAGTCTTGCCTCTGTAAAACATCTCTAGTGTTTAATTTAAAATTTTAATCATATAAGAAAAACAATCATCTCTAGTGTTTTCCTTAATGCATTTTAACCTTGAACAAAAGTGTAAAGCTTTATTTAATTTCATTTGTTTCAAATGTTAACCTACATGATTATTATTTTATAGTTAAAAGGTCTTATGAGACAAAATATGCTAATTGATCTTATATATGTAATCACGTCTGAATAATTTTCAGAAAACAAAATGCTCACAAGTGAAGAATCGGAATATGAGTGTACCTATAGATACCAAAAAAAATTATTTCCCATGAGGCCGAGATTTTTAATTCACTTTAGCCCGAAGGAGTTAATAATATAATTTTTGTTATTTGGTTTGATTTGAATAAATTTGCTGGGTACGTGTAGCTCAGTTTGTTACTTGATTCAAAACTTCTATTAATCGACTTCACAAGCTTGCAATTGGTGCTATATAGCCATATTCGGATTTATCTGTTTGATGCACATTTGTAAACAAACACTTTTTTCCTTGGGTTATATAAAACGGACAATACATATCACTGAATTATACATTAATTTTTTACAATAAGAAAAACGAATAGATTGTCATTTATAGTAGTACTGTCTTATACATTACATATATTTATCGATATAGTGATAATTAACTAAGATTAAAATAAAACATTGTAGGAAATAAGGAATTAGGCAAGGCCTTTCGCTATCTGATAAACAATAGGTTTAGATATTACTTCGTAGGCTTTCTGGGAAGGGTGAGCGAAGTCATAGAAGACGTATTTATCTGGATTGAAGCATGGTATTATTGCATTCGGCATACAACAACAGGCTTTTCTTGCTTCTAAAAAGCCTGCAAATATATGTATTGTTGTAATTAAAACCATGATCTTGATCATCATGTAGATCTTAGTGTTATGATTCGGATATTAATTCGATCCCAAAGAAAAAAAAAGAAAAAAAAAACACAAGAAAAAGACACGCAAATTAAAACATTATTTATAGTAACTTATCCTTGATATGAGAGTTACTATAATGAAATTCAGAAGTTCATAAAAATAAAAAATAAAAAATCTTTCCCTGTACACTAGAAAAAAGAAAAGAATAAACATTGTATCAGTTAGAATGCACAATCCGTTAATAGAAAAAACAAATGACGCGGTTACAATAACCATGATATTGTTATCACTTGGTTACATCATGCATATATTTATATATGGGGTGTGTATATACGTACCATAGGCCTTAGGATTTTTGACAAGATCCATAAGAGTACCGTACATGTCGACGTAAACAAACTTTGCACCTTTAAAATCATATTCTACTGCATAACTTGTAAGACCTTTCTGCAATTTGCTGTTGAAGTCTTCCGTAACTTTATTCAAGAGGAAGTTACACCATCCGAATACCCCACCGAATACGGCTCGATGGAGAGGCAAACATCCCACAGGCATCACTCCCATCACCGCGAATTTTCTCGCTCCAAGATCATATAAATCCTTCAAATATAGATACATAAACCAAAAGAGTGTGAACAGTTACGTCGAATTCATATATAGTACTAATCTACTATATTTATCATATTTTTTATTTGATCTTACTTTTAGAAACTTTCTGGTCCAAACAACCATTTTACTGGTGTATGTATTTGTGGACTGTAATCGTATAAGAGCGGGAGCGACAAAGTATCCAAGATCATTATTTCCTTCAGAAATAAGAAACACAGCGTTTGAAACTATTTCTTTTACTTTTTTCTTACGTTTCACTACTCTCTTTAGTTTCTTCAAATAGTCTTTAAAATCTTTTACTTGGTCACCTGCCGATAAAACTCTCTGCCAAAATCACCCACAACCATCCAAAAATAAATGAAAACATAATTATTAGAAAACATTGCTTGAGATATATAATAGAACTTATCGAAATAACAATTAATTTTTTTCTTCTTTTCACCAGTGTTCTGGATGTAAGATCGTCAATTCCTGAACCACCTGATGCAAAACAAACGCCAGTTTTAAGATCTTCAGAATCGATGCGACGAATCTTGCTATAAGCTGGTACAAGTCTTTTGATCTGTAAACCTTGGGCTACAATAGAAGACTTCACCACATGAGAATACAACCTGGTTATATAAATAATATTGGAAACATTATCAAACATTGCGATACTATACCAACTATATCGGTGAAAACTCTTCCATTTCCGAATCTTCCCGTCGGAAATTTATAGTCAAAACTCAAACCATACGGCCAATAATTTCCTTTGAGAAGAGTAAGAAGAAAATTGTTGTTGCCGGTATCTAGGACTGAATCACCAAAAGCAAAAAGCGCAGAAAATGATGTATTTTGTCCAGCCGCTGATGAGAGGACGTAAATGGAAAATAATGATAACACAAATATTTTTCCCCTAAACATATCGAAAATAAGTGCAAAGTTTTTCTGAACATTTTTTAATTTATCCTATGTTTTATATAGAATTCATTTGATTTTTCTAACTATGTTTAGACGTCTAGTTCTTTCTTGTCGAAGGAAGCCAAAATGCATGAGAGTACAGTACTACACACCGAATGAATGTTAGGATAGTGTAAGACGATAATAATTCCATAAATCTCATGAAAAATGCCATTTCAAAACATTTTTAATATGCAAAACATTTTTTCAATCAAAAGTTTAGGTCCAAAAAGCTATTTATAATGCAGCCTAGTCTGCTAGTAGATTAGTTTGTTTTGCTTGCTATTACTAGCTAGTCTAAATGAAAACAAAATCAAGTTTTATGAAAAACTTGATCATGAGTGAAGATTTAGAAATATATATGAGGTCATAAAACTTATAAAATATTAACTATAATTATTCAAATTATAAATTCTTATTTTACTTTCACTCAAAAAAAGACAGATTTTTTCTTACTTTAGTCCAAAATTGTTAAGTTTGTTGATTTCTTATTTCGTCTTTCCTTTTCTTTTGGTTTAGGTTAATTTTACAAATGAAAATTAAATCTGTACAGAGGAATATTTTAAAAATTCACAGTAGTACAACTTTTAAATGAGAAAAGATATAGAAGATATTTGTTGAGCTTCAAGAAGTTTTCACATTTGATCGTCGAGGTGTTGTGGAGTCATAATATTGAAACCAGGCAGTGAGAAGAGAGTGTGAAGTAGTTTGGTAAGAGCTGTAGAGTTCAAGAAGTTTCGCTCTCATAGTCGGATGATGTCGCCAACTATTGAAACCGGAGGATTAAGCTTAACAACTGAAGTATGACGCGATCGAGTTACACTCTTTTCATTTGAAATAGACTAGAGCATAGATGAGAAGAAGCGTGACTAGTCTGATGTATTCATTTGAACGCCTTTGTTCCTGATTATATAAAATGGACTAGACATTCTTTTTAACAGGAAAAACAGAAATAGATCGTCATGTGTGACTTTTCTTCTCATATATATAATTACTGATGGTAATTATCACGATGAAAATAAATCATTGTAAGAAATCAGGCAAGGCCTATCTTGATATCCTCGACAAGCTTTTTAGAAATTGTTTTGTAGGCTTTCTCGGAGGGATGAGCAAAGTCATAGAAGACATATTTATCTGGATTGGAGCATGGTACTATTGCCGTAAGCATACAACAACATCCATTCTTCTCATGTGTAAATCCTGAAACCATAGTACACAATACTTAACAACTTTGGTCGGTCCTGAGATTCAAATGTCTAAAGCAACACTAAAGATGTGGTTCTTTTAATATATTACATTTGAATCTTGATAATGTATATAATTTTTAAAAAGGAAATTACGTATTTACATACCGTATTTCCTATGATTGTTGATAACATCCATAAGAGAGTTGTACATGTCGACATAGACAAACCTAGCACCCCTAAAATCTGATTCTCCTCTCCAACTTTTTATTCCGCTTTTCAATTTTTTGTTGTAGTCTTCGGAGATTGTATTTGCCAAGAAATTACACCACACGAAGAACCTACCAAAAATGAGTCTTGACATAGGCAAACATCCCAATGGTATCACTCCCATCACGGCAAATTTCCTTGCTCCTTGATCATATAAATCCTTCATACATTTAATAAAAAACCAAAAAAATGTGAATAAATACATATATAACAGTATTGATGAATAAATTTTCATTTTCTCTGTCTTACTTTTATAAATTTTTTGTTCCAACCAACTAATTTACTGGTGTATATATTCGGAGTCATTAGTCGCATACCAGCATCATGAATCGCATAGGTGATTCCAATATCATTATTTCCTTCAGAAACAAGAATCACTGAGTTTGCAACTATTTCTTTTGCTTTTTTCTTGCCTACTATGCCTTTTAGCTTTCTTAAGTAGCCTTTGAAATCTTTTACTTGGGCGGCCGGCGATAAAACTCTCTGACGACATCCGAAGAATTAGTTAAGATATATAACCCTTTCTTAACCTAATAACAAGTTCAATAATATTTTTACCAGCATTTCGGATGTAACAGGGTCGACTCCTGCACCACCTGATGCAAAAGAAACACCAGTTTTAAGGTCGCTTGGAGCAATGTACAACTTACGATAAGCTGGTACAATTCTTTTGATCCCCAAACCTTCGGCTGTAGTTGAAAAAAAAAACTTCACTATATGATTAGCCAAACAATATGATAGAAATTAGACATTCCAAAGAAGCATTGTAAAGAACTTTAATATTATACCAACTATATCGGAGAAAACTCTTCCGTTTCCAAATCTTCCCGTCGGTATTTTTTTGTCGAAATTCCACCCATATGGCCAGTAATTTCCTTTCATTAGAGTCAGGAGGTAATTGTTGTTACCGGTATCGACCATTGAATCTCCAAAAGCCAATAGCGCAGGAAAGGATTCATTCGCGACAGCTTCTATTGATAAGAAATAAGTGGAAAATAATGCTAACAGCAACATTTTTTCTTACATATAGAACCCTAAGTTCATAAAAAAATTTCCCGACAGTGTTTAGTTTATCTTATATATGTTTTATACAGAAATCAGTTGATAGTTTTCTAACTATTTTTAGACGTCTAGTTTTTGTTTGTCCAGGAAGGCAAAAAGCATGAGAGTTCAGTATACACCGAATGAATGTTAGCATGTTTTAGCTTTAAGAAGATAATAATTCTATCAATCACATTTAGAAAATGCTAAAATAATATTATCACTATGTTTTAGTGCATCTTTTTATTGCTATGTATAAAAGTCACGGCTCATCTATTAAGTATATCATGTAAATCAAGATTTTCTTATAAAGAATAATTAAGTTAAGTAAACCATTGATCTAATTATATTACCATTTGTTTCAAACAAAAGAAAAGTATTTGGTTGTACATGTACCTATATTGATTTGGTAAATTAAAAATCAATATAATTGGAAAAACAAAAAAAAACTAAAATTCCAGTATGATCCCTTTGCATCCATTTGTATGGATCGGATATAGTGCTTGTGAATGGTACTGGTTGCGGTTGAATAGAAGTAATTCGTCTATATTTGTCATTTGCCATTCACAATTATTTGTCCGAGTGGTACATATCGAAGAAATTTTTTATTTATATCGGACTTATTTTTATAAGAAAAATTGTTCACAATAAATGGTTGTCCAACCTATAAGTTAACTGTAATAGGTTTTACGGATTATTATGAGTCAAAGTGCTATTTAATTATAATGATTATTTTCCTACAATTGGCAAATAAAAAAAGTTTGTTCAATATACATTTGTAAACAAACGCCTTTGTTGTTCTGAGATTATATAAAATGAACAATACATAAACTGGATTATACATTCTTTAACAGAAGAAAAACAGAGAGATCGTCATGTATGATTTTTGCCCTCTCATTTATATTATTAACGATGGCTGTTATTAAGATTAAAATATAAAGCATTGTATAAGAAATCAGGCAAGGCCATTCTTGATATCCTGGACAAGCTTTTTAGAAATTGTTTTGTAGGCTTTCTCGGAGGGATGAACGAAGTCATAGAAGACATATTTGTCTGGGTTGGGACATGGTACTATCGCCGTAATCATACAACAACACCCATTCTTCTCATTAGTAAATCCTGAAACCATACAAGTACATGATACTTAGTAACTATATAACTTTTAAAGCCATAGAACAAACGTGGTTGACAAGAATCCATCTTTAAGAATGAGTAACAGTTCTTTATAAAAAAAAAAGAATGAGGAACAGTTAACTGTGACATATTAAAATTAAATCAATAAGTTTTGCTAGTGTCGTCGTTCTATCCCCATCAAATTCAAATACGATAAAATTCATGTTGTTGGCAAAAAATTAAATATTGAAAACCAAGGGAAAATGATAGTGGTTATTTACTTACCGTATCTTCTATGATTTTTGATAACATCCATAAGAGTGTTGAACATATCGACATAGACAAATTTTGCACCGCTAAAACCTGATTCGCGTCCCCAAGTTTTAGTTCCGCTCCTCAATTTTCCGTTGTACTGTTCTGCAACTCTATTCGCGAAGAAGTTACACCAAATGACGAACCCACCAAGAAAGATTCTTGACATAGGCAAACATCCCAATGGTATCACTCCCATCACCGCAAATTTTCTCGCTCCTTGATCATATAATTCCTTCATACATATAACAAAAAAATGTGAACGAATATATATACTTCATACTACTATATATATCGATATATGCTTGATCAGAAAATCATTTTTGGTCATACTTTCATAAACTGTTTGTTCCAACCAGCTAGTTTAGTGGTGTATCTAGCGGGAGTCAATCCTCGGAAAGTAGCTGATGGAGTTCCAAAATATGAGATTCCAATATCATTATTTCCTTGAGAAACAAGAATCACTGCATTTGCGACTATTTCCTTTGCTTTTGAAGGACCTGCTGTGGCCTTTAGCTTTCTTATGTAGCCTTTGAAATCGTTTACTTGATCCCTTGGCGTTAAAACTCTCTGACCAAATCACCACCAGGCCAAAAACAAATTACAATATTTATTAGAAAATGTCTATTATTTAGTTAAGATATATAACATTTTTAACTGAAATAACAAATTTATTATTATTATTTTTCACCAGCAATTTGGATGTAACAGGGTCGACTCCTGCACCACCTGATGCGAAACAAACACCAGTTCTAAGGTCGCTTGGAGAAACGAACAACTTACGATAAGCTGGTAAAATTTTCTTGATCCCCAAACCTTCAGCTGTAGTAATATATCAGAACAGTATTAGTCATGCCATATGATTATCTAAGCAATATGAGACAAAATTAATTAGGAATTACAAAGAAGTATTGTAATAAACTGATATTATACCAACTATATCAGAGAAAACTCTTCCATTTCCAAATCTTCCTGTCGGCATTCTCATGTTGAAACTCCTTCCATATGGCCAGACATTTCCTTTCATTAGAGTCAGGAGGAAATTGTTGTTACCGGTATCGAGAATTGAATCTCCAAAAGCCAAGAGCGCAGGAAATGATCCATTGGCAGCATCTGTTGATAAGAAATAAATGGAAAATAAAGCTAACACTAATGTTATTTTACTACACATATCTAACCTTAAGTCTATTTTTGTTTTCAACGACAGTGTTTAGACTCTCTTATGTTTTATAGAGAATTTAATTAGTGGTGCTTCTAAGCTCATGTCAGTAGTATAAATACAAGTGATTTTCTAAGTATTTTTAGACGTCTAGTCTTTGTTGTCTAAGGAAGCCAAAAATGCATGAAAGTGGTGGGTACACACAGGATGAATGTCAGAATGTTTTAGAAAGATAATAATTAACTCCATAAATCTGATGAAATGTATACAGTAAACCAAAAACAAAATATGTAGTCATTTTACACCCAAAAAAAAAGACTTTAGAATGAATGATTTATATATAATGATTTGTTTGTAACGTCAACTTTTTCGTCATGTAGACTCATATTCATCCATGTACTTGAAGAGGATCTAACTACTAGAATGGTAAGATGTGAAGTAAGAAAATTATGATTGACTGTCCAAAAAATAAACCAAGAAGAAATATTAATTTTATTTAAATTGAATACAATTTTGAAATAATACAAACAAGATGAGATAAAATATAATCAATCGTTATGCCGTGACAATAGTTTTAATTCAGACGAACTGATAAACAAATTTGTTAATCAACAATGAGACTAACACTTTGTAAGTTTTCTCTGTAGGATGATAACTGTCCCAAAACACATGACTAGACACGTCGGGACATACAGAAGACGTGATTTTATTGCACAACACAGCAACTTCTATGGCTCCTGTTCCACAACATCCTTTATTGGCCACTTGAAACCCTACAATAACCCAAATCATAACTTTCAAAGATAGTACCGTTTTATATTGAAGTAAAACGAATAGTACATGCATCAAAGTTTAAACGAAATAAATCTTTGCGTATTACCATAATTTGCAGGATTCTGGATGATGTCAAAAAGAGGATCATATATATTAATGTAGATCGGTTTGATACCCGGTAGAGTTTTACGCAACGAATCCAATTTTGGGGAGAGCTTTGAATTGAAAAGCTTTGCTGCTTCGTTGTAAGTCTCAGCACAATCTCTCATAATACCTCCTCCTAAGGTTCTCTGTGATGGTACACAACCAATTGGTGGTGCACCAAACACAGCTACTCTCCTCACTCCATATCCATATAGTTTCTGTCAATTTCATTTCATACTAATCATTATAATTGATGTAATAAACTTTACAAAAATCAAATCCACACATAATTACCCTTCTTTTTTAAGCGTTTAAAAAAAAATTACCTATTCTATCGGAGATGAAAGTACAAGAAAAAATGAGACACGTCAATTATTAGTTTACATGATACGACGACATTAATAAAAATGTTAATTTGTTAGATAGCCGTATATTCATAATATTCTTTCAATAGAATGTAGAAAAGTCTACACTAAAAGTATTAGGCTTTAATGTAAAATATGAGAGAAGCTTACAGTCACAAATTCTGAGGCAGAGTCAGACATAAGAGTAGTGTAGGAATCGATGTCGTATTCAGGTCTTGCATGAATAGTGTAGTATGTATTGGCTATGTCGTCGCTGCCTGCTACCAATAAGAATAAGCTGTTGGCTAATATGAAGTTTTTTTTTTCTTCCCCAACTATATTCTTCACTTTCTCTATGTACTCCTCGAAATAGTTTAATTGGTCTTCTAATGATATTACTGCCTAATATCATCAACAAATAGAGATCAAACCAAACTAGTTTAAAGTATCTAATCAAATATCTCCATAGGAGTTTGCAATAAAGAACACCATGATCGTTAGATTACAAAGTATTTACCACGAGTTTCGGTGTTATAGGATCATAACCAGAACCGCCTGACGCAAATGATACACCGGTTAAAAGATCTTTGGATTTTAGATTCGGATCGAGGTATGCTGGTACAATTGATTTTATTCCCAGTTCTTCGGCTGCAAAGTAAGAACAGGACACAAAATAAATAACGTTATTTTAAAGAGATTTGTTAACAAATATCATGACTGTAGAAGACTCTAGCCGGAATTTTCTTATTAAATTTTGGTACACATAATTATTGAGTCAATGTTACTGACTTAGTTTAACTTCTACTTCTTAAAGAAATGATTGCTCAAATTTAATTTGCCGTAGTCATTACTTGTGACCTAGTAATTAATGGTCGTTACTCGTTATATATAAAAATGCGTGAATTTTTTTACATTGCCAGTTCGCTTTAGAAATAAGAGTAAAGAGAAGGAACCTAGCAAATCGGCAGGGACTCGTCCGTCGCAGAACCTCCCCGTGGCAACTCCGCCTTGGAAATCAATACCGTAAGGATGAAAATCACACTTAACCACGGTTTTGACATTGTTGTTCATTCCCGTGTCGACGATGGAGTCTCCGAAAGCGATTAGCGCCGGAACAATCAAGTTTGGCGGCAACTTCACGGCGGCGATCGTCTTAGTGAGAAAGAGAACAGACAACAAACATATTTTCCACGACGACCAAGACCAGCTTGAATTGTCTTTCATGTTGCTTTAATGTAATCTATAAAATAAGATTTCTTTTGTTATAGAAATGAGTTTGCTTCCAACTTCCAAGTTTTACAACAACATAACAAGGACAAACAGAAGATACTAAATCAACTTTTCTTCTATGCTATCACACTTATTTATATATATAGACACATGTCGCTATAAATTACTATATTAATGTGCATATATTTATAATGTATATATGTGTAATGCATTGTGTCGTGGATATGTACATGTTGTGGACCGGTACACTTAATTATAGGACAAGACTGAATTAACTGCTTGGAACATTTCGAGATAATATAGTATATTAGGTGTTTTCTTCTAATTATTTTGAGGGAATAGTATTAATTAAAATGCACTTTTTGATAATAATCCTCGAGAAAACTGAGATAGTGTAATAACCTCAACCATACCAGTTTGTTTTTTTCTTCAGATAGATACTTGGCTACTTTTAACAACATATAACTATTAGTGCGTATATCGAAACACGTAATGCCAGCAGAATGTGACAGGCAGAGTATGACAGGGAGGCAAATATATCTATATTAGTGCGTATGTGTATCAGCGCTAATTAAACGGGGATTAGTTAATCGCTGTCAGAGTTTCTAGACTTCATATGAGCATTAAATGCTCTGCTCCATTTCATATTTTGATTTTGCCACGAAAAGATAGTCATTTCATAAAAAGAGTAGGTTATATTTCGGTTTTGGGGAAAAACATAAACTTATGATAATTGTATTAATCTTATACACTAAATTTACTTTTAAGTAGGCTATATCATAAATTTATTTTTATTTGGTCAAATTTTGTTGGCTTAAATGTGGTTTCGATGGGCTCATATCATACGTATTTACGTTGTTGACTGGAATTGGTTTCGTCTGAATTTAAATTGCCTAGTCTATATGTCACATGTAAAAGTTAAAACAAGAAGAATTGTTGCCATATGTTTTAGTTATTTGGGTTATCTTCGCATCAGTCCGAAAAATCACCAAAACAAAAAAATAGCGGACATCACCATTCCACGTGAAAAATATCAAAAGAGAGATAATACTCGATCTATCTCTACAAATTCTAATTGCACTTCAAAATTCAAATACACGCAAAATCATGCGGTTATTTTTAACCTTTTTTCTTTTTCTTTTTGCGAACCATTTTGACTTGAGTGTTTGAGGATTTTCTGAAGACATTACATCGGTGTTACAAATAATCTTGATTCTTCAAAGTAAAAAAAAAAAAATCTTGATTCTTCTCTTCCGTGAAACATGTTTATCTACCCTTCAGCGGTCAACCATCAGCGATCTCAAATAACAACGTAGAAAGATAAACATGTTTTTTTTATGAAAACCCTTTATCCAAAAAAGAAAAGAAAAGATAAATATGTTTTTATCAACATATCTCTGCACAACTAGTATATATATAATAGATTTGGGCAGATTCTTGTAATCTGACATATATTTTATAATCTCATATGACAATTATGCTACGATGAAACACGATAATTGTGATACTAATTAACTTAAGAATCTCAGTTAAGATCTTTGAGCATGTGATGTAAACTGTTACCAAACTACAACTTTGTAGGTCATCATAATTAATACAACCAAGACTTCTAGAGCCCATCAAGCTCAGCAATATAGAATATATTGTTGGTATTATTTTGAGTCTCTAGCATATAATATATCATTTTTTGGATAATACATATCTAGTTTTATTTATTGATGTAAATCATATGATTTAATTTCCTATAAATTAAATATCGACATTGTACTCATATGATATGTACGAAATAGAAAAAAAAATTGAACGAAGACGTAGGGACCGTAGGGTAGATGTAGATCACAAGCAATAGGTGATTCTACAATTTCCACTTAACTGAGTGTGAAGAAGGTAACTTTTCTATTTATGTACACGTGAAAAAGTACAAAAGAGACATTACGAAGAAAACAATTGTGGCTAAAATATATAAAAAGCAAAATGTTAATTTGTATATTTCTAGAGAAGCTTGCTGTTAATGCTACCTACATAACGATGGTCCAAATCTAATAATTATAGAATATAAATAGTAAGCCAGAGCGCAAGTATCCGAAAAATCATGCTAATTAATTAAGACTAAGATATATAGACAAGGCTACTAGAATGTGAAATTTAATTTAATGATTCACACAACCATATTATCGCCCAACCACTATCTAACATAATTATGTTTCTTCTATAAACATGTGCAAACAAAAAAAATTCATAAATATCTTCAAATGCTTTAGGGTTTCTCCGTTTTATATTGCTTTACATATTTAAGATGAATGTAATACTAGATTAATTTGTAGACAATTACAATGTTTAGAATTCTTCTTTTACAATTATAGTTAAATTAGAAGAAAATACATTGTGATGCTCAAATAATATATTAACTAGATCATCACCCGTACTAAAATACGGGTTGAATTTTATTTATTACAAAATTTATATAATATATATATTAGAACTAAGTTTTAATATATTATAATAGGAAGTGAAAAAATATTAATTTTTTTATCAGTCCCTATATACAATATTAGAATAAATATAAAATTTTTTCTATAATACTCAATTATGGATATTTTTTTTTTAAGATATGAAAACGGAAAATAATTTTATTTTTTAAAAAGTAATATATTTTGAACAATGAATTAATTTATGTTAACAACCACAAAATAGGATTGCATATATTTCAGTTATATCAAAAATTAAAATATCATAAATGAATCGCATATAAAACATAGATTATTTTAAATTAATTAAGAAAATTAGCTATTATTTTCAATTAATTTAAAAAATTCTTTTTCAATTTATAATTCTTTGGTTGTTGAAATAGAGATTTGTTTGAGCTAATCTAATTACAGAATTTGTTTGAGATTTATAATTACGGAATTTACTAATTATTCGCATAATCGAATATGTTATAAACATATATTTAGTACATAAAAATACCAAAATCAACCTGTGCGTGGAGTCTATATTTTTATTTTAGAATCTCAATATTTCATTTTAAAATATTGCATGCACAATCTATTATTCGTTAATTCTTAAATTGCTTGCGGAATCAAATTTTCAAATATTTAGAGGTGTCAAACCATATTTAAATGTTCTACACTATTTTTAAATATTCCAAATTAAAATCTTTAATTTTTTTTGTAGTTTATAAAATTATGAATTTCAAAAAACAAATTATATGAAATTAAATATAAATATTCAAATAGTTATAAGGATCAAAACTCATTTCATCGTATAATATATTATATTTAACCCGCTACCTATTATAAATATTTTTAAAAATAATCAAATTAGAGTATTTATAATTTTTAACTTTTTGAACTATTAAGTATTGATGATATTCTCTAAAAATATCAAGTAAAACTTATTTTAAATGTTGCAAATTAAAATATTTAAGTTTTTCTTGTAGTATATAAAATTTACATTTCAAAAAAATAAATGTATGAAATCGAATATAAATATTCAAATTCTGACCCGTTGCTCTGTCGAAATTTTTGTTGACTTTATTTTTGTGTAAAAGAAATATATTACTCAAGTCTGAATTTTTGACCCGTTTAATTGTTTCCTTTATAGATTGAACAATTTATATGCGTTTTTAAAAATTCAAATCTTGGCATATGCAGAAAAAAATTACTTTTTTTTATTATGTCGATGATATGATGATTTATTTGTTTCATATTAATATAATTATATTAAGATGAGAGGTGAAGTTTAATGATTAATAACAAATTAATATGGTAAGTTAGATATCAAATCTTATATGTTCATTTTGATTGGTTATTTTAAAAAAAAAAATAACAGATTTTCGTTTTATAATTTAATTAAATTAATTAAATGACATAAATTAGTATTTTACTTGTTTATCCTTAATAAATTGAATGAAATTTGTTCTAAAAGAAGATTTTTGTAATGGCATTCTTAAGTAAATTCTTACAAAAGGGAAGGTTAGTTAAGGGTATCTTATAAAGTGTACTCCCCAAATAATAGTATAGGATCCCTATGAAAGATTACAAAACGAGCAATTTCGTTATACATATATATAAGCGATATTATGGAGTCATCTTATACTATTCACATATATCGTAGAAGATAGACCCTGTGGCCTGTACTATCGTAGTTGTATTCATATATAGTAATAACTCGACAGCGACAAATTAAAGTAAAGACCAACTAACTAGTTCCATGTATAATGAAAACAAAAGAAAAAAAAGTGTATAGAAGGCATTTGTGTTTTGAATTCGATATGATAAGACCATCTGCATTGGGGGATCACCCCCCCTGATCTAAGCATTATTTAAATCCAAAAAAATGGGTTAATGGGCTTAAGATCAGGAACTGGGCTCTTGACCTGGATCTGTTCTTGTGGGTGTTGCGGGGTGACGTGGCATTTGGGCATTGGTTGGAATATTCAACATATTTGGAATAAATTTGGATAATAAACTATGTATTAATTAGATAAAATGTTTTTGTGCTTTTATTAAATAATATGTTTGTTTGTTTATTGTTATTTATATTTTTAATGTTTTTTTCATAAATATTTAGTATTGTATTTTCACTTTTATTTTCAGTTTTTCATAAATTTGGCATTTACAATTTATATGTTATTTTTAAATGTTTTAATAATTGTAAAATTTTAATTTAATTTAGATTATTATATTATTAAGTCTTAAGATCTTACACATGTTCTCCCACTAATCAACTTCTAAACAAAAGATCTAAACACATGATCTTACATTATTTTAACATTATATTCTCTATAAGAACACCCTCACATGATCCCCCATTGATGATGCCCTAAGCAGTCATTATTGTTTTCGAAATTAAATTGATCATTTATTAGTGGGTCCAATATTACTCACAGAATTAATAGGTCAAAATTTTGATCCTGTCTACCATGGTAGATAATTTAGATTGAGATGGTTACTGAATTACTTACTGGATTACAATTTACAGCCAATTGTTTCGTATAATAAAAATCAAAATGTTCGGTCCTATTTTTTTAATTATTTTACCGCTAATTTGGGTGTTAAAGAATTATTAGGCCGAATCAGTCGTGGCAAATGATGCATGGCCTAGTAAATCCTATCTTCAAGTTTTAATTTGTGCTCGAAACAGAGATGTACCTATATGATATAGGCTATATCTTATTCTTTTAGGAACCTTAATCAAGTTTTCTTCTTTATTTTAAAATCTATATCATTTATTGGCCTAAGTTTACGATTTTTTTATTTAACATTTTTTATTCAGTATTTTATCGAATTAGTAAAGCAAACAATGGTAGAAACAACAGTTAACAGTATGTCTTCACAACCCAATAGGCTCTTCAACTACTTGACTTTTCCTTCTTCTTTCTCATTGTGAATGGGCTCTCAGCTCTAGGCCTCTCGTTCAACCTCCTGAGTTCAAAATAAGGTCTTTTTTTGTTGGGCTGTTTTGCTTTTAATAATTGTGGGCTTTTTGTAACAAATATGGTGGGCAACTCCTACTAGCATTTTAATTTAGATAGCCAAAAAAAAAAAAATTATATGCAAAAATAATCAAAATCATCTTTAATTGATCCTGGACCTAAGAGCAACATTATCAATGGGCTCTTAACCCAATTTTTGACTCTTAGCTAAGAGTCATTCCTTAGCAAAATCAACAATTTAACATTTAATTTTAATCTCTTTTTGGCTAAGAACCATGTTAACAACCTCCCGATAAGGATGGTCTAAGGACGCTCATCATGAACTTAAATAGCTCCAAAATGTCTTTACTGCAATATGCAGTTAATCAGTTATCATTGCATGGAGATGGCTCACAGGAGATGGGCATTGGATCTTGCCGCGAGTGATTAGCTGTAAATAGTTTGACGTACAAAAAAAAAGGATATGTAGGCATAAAAGAAAGCAAACACATCGAGAAAACATCCAGCAATTTGCAAACAGCAAAAGAGGTCATTGTTCAAAAAAAGAAAAAAAAGAAATGATAAACCATCTTTACTTATCTATAGGTCACAGATTAGAAAATTTTGTATAGACATTTTTAAACTATTTTTACGATTAAGTCTTCCCTCAGTCGGATGGAAACTATCTCAAAATACATAATCATATTCTTTTTATCCCGGTTCAATTAGTCCGGTTCCACAACATGCATCCTCTACCAACCTGCACCTTAAATCCTGTTACATTAATGAAAAAACATACAATTTCATTAACTTTTTGATGAAATAGACAATTTTAACAAAAAACGAAGAAGAAGAAATGTTTGGAAATTAATTGTTTATATTAATAAGTGCGACCATCTTTACTTAAACGAACCATCTTTATATCAAAAGAAATGATAAACATCTCCACTTACAGTTAGAAGATTTTGTTGAGACATTCTTTAAACTATTTTTACGACTATAATTCTGTAAGTCTTCCCTCAGTCGGATGGATGTAAATTGTCTCAAAATACATAACCATATATTCTTTTGGACGAACATTTCGATATCACGTCTAATATATAAGATAGTATACATCAAAAGACATGATAAATCAAGCTATGACTTACATTTTTTGTCGAGATCATACATATCTCTCATAATATTTCGTGGCCATAATTTTGTAAGTCTTCTCAGTCGGATGGAAACTATCCCAAAACACATATTCATCTCTATTTGGACATACATCAGCTGCAAAGTTGTTGCATAATACAGTAACTTCAATTAGTCCGGTTCCACAACATCCTCTATCAACCACCTTAAATCCTGTTACATAAAACATACAATTTCATTAACTTTTTGATGAAATAAAAATGTTAGACAATTAATTTCTATTTATACGAACAAGATTACCATATTGTTGAGGGTCTAGAATGATATCAAAAAGAGAATCATATATATCAACGTAGATTATTGTCTTCTCTCCTAAAGTTCTTGACAAAGAATCCAAATTTGCAGCGAGCTTAGCATTGTAGAGCTTTGTTGCATCATTGAACCTAACAACACAATTTCTCGTTGGTCCCCCTGCTAAGGTTCTCTGTGATGGGACACATCCGACTGGTGGTGCACCGAATACTTGGATTCTTCTCGCTCCATATTCATATAATTTCTGTGAATACCAAATCATTAAAAAGTTTAAGAAAGAAAAAAAGAGTTTAGGTTTTATTAATTATATATCCATACGTACTTGAGCAAAAGATCGAGCATTGTCGGCCATAAGAGTAGTAAAGGAAGCGACATCGTATTGGTGTTGAACAGAAGGAAGACCAAAGTAGGTGTTGGTTATATCATTACTGCCACATATAACCATGAACAAACTGTTTTTAATTATGAACGTTGTCCTTTCTTCCCCAACCATTTCCTTCAACTTCTCTATATACTGTTCGAATAATTCCAATTGCTGCGATAAAGCTATTCCTCCCTTTAAGAAGAGCATATTATTATTATAAAAAAAACACTAATTACCTTAGAAGTAATCATATTTGTTTTATAGATAGCGTAAGATTTAGAAGTTTGATTACCGATAATTGGGTCGTGAAGGGAACGTAACCAGCACCGCCAGACGCAAATGTTACACCGGTTAAGAGATCGTCTGGTTTCAAATTTGGATTTTGGTATGCCGGTATAGTTGGTTTAATTCCGAATTTTTCCGCTATGATAAGCAAGAGAAAATAAATATTACCAGTTATAGATTTATATTTTTTTTGATAATAGATTTATATATTAGAAATTTCATTGCCCTTAATCCTATACTATTATTTGGGGAGTACACTTTATAAGATACCCTTAACTAACCTTCCCTTTTGTAAGAATTTACTTAAGAATGCCATTAGAAATAAAATTTTATAGAGTAAATTAATTCAACTCATTAAGGATAAACAAGTCAAATACTATTTTATGCAAGTTAATTAATTTAATTTAATTATAAAAACGAAAATCTATTATTAATTTTTTAAAAAAGAATGACCAATCAAAATGAACATATAAGATTTGATATCTAACTTATCAAATTAATTTGTTATTAATCATTATACTTCACCTCTCATCTTTATATTATTCTATTTCTATAAAATAAATAAATTATTAAATCATCTACATAATAAAAAAAAAAGTAATTTTTTTCCGCATATACAAAGATTTGAATTTTTAAAAACGAATATAAATTGTTCAATGTATGAAAAAACAAATTTAACGGGTCAAAAATTCATATTTGAGTAATATATTCCTTTTTTAATATCATCAATACTTAATAGATCAAAAAGTTAAGAAATATAAATACTCTAATTTGATTTTTTGAAACAAATATTTATAATAGGCGGCGCGTTAAATATAATGTATTATATGATGAAATGAGTTATGATCCTTATAACTATTTGAATATTTATATTTAATTTCATATATATATATATATTTTTAAATTCATAATTTTACATACTACAATAAAAATTTTAAATATTTTAATTTGGAACATTTAAAAAAAGTTTAATTTAATATATTAAAGAATATCATAAATATTTAATAGATTAAAAAGATAAAAAAAATTATAAATACTAATTTGATTTTCTAAAAAGATATGTTTAATATATTTATAGTAGGCGGCGGGTTAAAAGTAATGTATTATATGATAGAAAGTTATGATCCTTATAATAGACGACATTTTAAGATTTTATGATGAGATGAGTTAAATAAGGTTTGACACTTCTAAATATTTGAAAATTTAATTCTGCAAGCAATTTTGGAAATAATGAATAATAGATTGTGCCACAATATTTTCATAGGGATTGTAAAATGAAAATATAGACTCCACACGGATCGAATTTGGTATTATTATATACCAAATATATGTTCATAACATATTCGATTATGTGAATAATTGGTAAATTCCGTAATTAGCTCAAACAAATCTCTATTTCAACAACCAATAAATTAGAATTTGAAAAAATAATTTCCTAAATTAATTCAAAATAATAGCTAACTAACTAATTCAAAATAATCTACGTTTTCATTTATGATATTTTGATTTTTGATCTAACTAAATTATATTCACTCTCATTTTGTGGTTGTTAACATAAATTAACTCATTGTTCAAACAATATTATTTTTTTTGAAAATAATATTAATTTCCGTTCTCATATCTTTAAAAAATATATCCATAATTGAAGCTTACAGAAAAATAAAAATATATTCATTCTAATATTATATATATGGACTGACATAAAAAAATTAATATTTTTTACTTACTATTATAATATATCACGATTTTATTCTATAACTATATAATATATAAATTTTGTAATAAATGAAATTCAACCCGTACTGTAGTACGGGTGATGATCTAGTTTTTTTGATATTTCGCTTTTCAGTTTACTTTTTTTTTTAACACATGCTTTTCAGTTACATATCTCAAGAAAATGACACATACTTGGAAACTAAAAAGAAAAGAAAAAAAAAAAAAAAAAAAGAGATCACATGTTATGGAAAAATATTCAACCACTGAATTAATTGTCCTAGACTCCTAGTTAATGCGTCTAATATTAACCCATCCATTAATATTGTGATGGTGCCATTGTTTGGAGTTCCTTGTCCCTTGGTCCATCACATATCTTTTAAACAATACTGTAAATTACATCCAAATTAACACTACTCAGTCACTGAGATATTCAGTACTACGTACGATACAATATTTGACTTCTATAGATTTTTTTATTTTTTTTTTTTACGAAAAGGGTTTTCTATAGATCTTTTTCGTTGAAGGCTTTAACAGTAATAACTTATAAGCTGTGATCATAAAACACAAATTTATATAACTAAAAGTGAGTGTTTAGTTTTTATCTACTGGGTATCGAAATATAATCAATCACATCAAAGAAAACAACGTGAAATTTACCTATAAAATCAGTCGCAACTTTGCCGTTGGAAAATCTTCCGGTAGGAATTCCACCGTCAAAATCGATGCCGTAAGGAGGATAATTGCATCTAGCCAACGTTGTCATAATGTCGTCATTATTTCCGGCATCAACGATCGAATCTCCGAACACTATTATCGCCGGAATCGTTTCGTTTGGCGGAAGCTTCACCAAAGCGTTCGTGGTTGTCTTACATAACAACACGAGAAAGAAAACACACCAAAACGGGCTCGAAGAAAAAGAAGTAACGTGATGAACATTTATACTGTTTTGTTTCATTTTCACTCTTTGTTTCTTTGGAAGCTTTTGGAATGATGAGTTCATGAGTAAATATATATATGTAGAGCTTGGATCGGCAATGCATATGTATAACATTAACATATGAGGACTTTTTATTCAAAATGGCTAATAGTCTAGTCTAGAACATTTAATAACGAACTAACTAGGTTAGCATCGTAAACCCTTTTTCTTTAACTATAATAAATTTTGGGCATAGTGAAATTAATTACTATATTTGTCGAAGAAAAACAGTAATTGGCTAATTGCTTTCGGGCCTGCGTTGATCAGATTTAACTGGGCCTTATGCTTAATTTGTTTTTGTCAACCTTGGGCCTTATGCTTAATTAACACCTGCTTTTTTTTTGTTAAAGATATTTATTATTATGTAATATTGTTAATTTGTTTTTGCCTCTCTTTTTGGTTTGGTATTTGATCTTTGCGATAAGTTTGAGTTCCATCAGGATTCAGGACTGTGACAAAGTGATTTCGAGGACCATAATCAATCTTTCTTGTTGAAAATGGAAAAGGAACAAAATTAAAGCATATAGAAATATAGACGAATCTTGTATATATAATATAACCATCAAATATCATAAGAGACAATTACAAGCCTTGCAAAAGAGAAAGTTGACCAGTGTATTTGAATTGAAATGATTATTCAAAAGTGTATGGAACAAGGAGCTAAGATATAAGAGCTATACGATTAGAAGAATCTGTTGAGATATCTATCCAAAAGCTTTGCAACTATAATTCTGTAAGCTTTTTCAGTAGGATGAAAACTGTCCCAAAACACATAATCAGATCTTATGGGACATACAGAAGCTGTATAGTTGTTGCATAGCGCAGTAACTTCTATTAATCCGGTTCCGCAACATCCTTTATTGGCCACCTTAAATCCTATAAGATTCATAATAAAAATATACACTTTTATTATAAAACATTTGGGATGTTGAAAATAAAGTAATAATGATTGATTACCATATTGATGAGGGTTTAAAATGAGATCAAGAAGAGGACTATAGATATCAATATAGATTATTGTTGGGTCTCGTAGAGTCCTTGACAAGACATCAATATTTGCAGAGAGTTTAGTATTGAAAAGTTTTGATGCATCATTAAACCTAGCAACACAATCTCTTGTAGGTCCTCCTGCTACGGTTCTCTGCGAAGGAACACATCCTATTGGTGGTGCACCAAATACAAGTATTCTTCTTGCTCCATATCCATAGAGCGTCTGCCACCACATAAATAAAAAACAATTTGTAATAAAGACAGCAGAATTACTAACCTTACTCGTGAGTCGTGACATTAATTATTGTATTACTACTAACCTTATAATTGTATTACAATTATAAATTGTTTTTACCTGAGCAAAAGAGCGAGCGTTGTCGGCCATAAGAGCGGTGAAAGAAGCGACGGTGTAGTGGAGCTGAACCGGAGGGAGAGCAAAGAAGTTGTTGACGATATCGTTACTACCACATATAACAACGAACAAGCTATTCTTGATTATGAACTTTGTCCTTTCTTCTCCAACCATTCCCTTCAATTTCTTTATATATTCTTCAAAATATTTCAATTGTTGTGGTAAAGGTATTCCTCCCTTTAACAATATATATAAAAAATGTTGTTATTTTAGTAATCAACTTCTTTAGGTAACGTAAATGCATGAGAATTCCTGATTAAATACCGCGATTTTGGTCGTCAAAGGAACATAACCAGCACCACCAGAAGCAAATGTTACACCGGTTAAGAGATCTTCTGGTTTTAAATTCGGATCTCGGTATGCCGGTATATTGGATTTAATCCCTAGCTCTTCCGCTGTAAAAACAAATAAACTATGAAAATAAAATATAATTACTAGATTAATTACTTTTTTTTGTTGGGTTTTACACCATTTTATAGAGCAAGGAAATCAAGCTATTCACGGGCTGCAAATCATTAATCAAGTTATTGCATTCGATATATAGTTCATTTTGTCAATAATTCGATATATATAGTTATCCAATAAAAATAATGCATGGTAGTGCTCTATGTAAGATTTTAATAAATTATTTAATCAAGAAAATAAATTACAGGTAAACTAACCTACAATATCACCGGGGACTTTGCCATTGGAGAATCTTCCGGTAGCAACTCCACCGTCAAAATCAATGCCGTAGGGAGCATAATCGCATCTAGCTTCTGTTATCATGTCGTCGTTATTTCCGGCATCGACAATTGAATCTCCAAACACTATTACCGCCGGAACGGTCGTGTTTTTCGGGATTTTCACTAAAGCATTTGTAGTTGTCGTAAATAACAGCACGAGAAAGAAAGTACGCCAAAATAGTATCGTCGAAGAAGAGCAACAAAAATAAGAATTGATGCGATGATGACCAGAACGACGTCGTTCCATAGTTGCTAATTACTATGACGTATCGATGTAATGTGTTTGTGTTACAACTTAAAACAAAACATAAAAAAATTTGCTTCTCTAAAAGCTTGGAACGATGGATATAAATAGTCCTCCTCTCGTTTCCTATAGATATTTATATATCCATATATGTCTACGTGATTTGTTTGGTTTAGTTGTTGTCATTAATTGCAGACATTGACATTTTTTTGTCTACATGTTATTCTAATATCTAAGTGCGTGTTATGGTTAGAGGATCACGCTTTTTGATAACTAACAACGTACTTTTCCAAACAAATGCCAAAAATCCCTATAAACTTTGTTTCACACTTATAATCTGTTTGATTCAAATAAGATTAAATAAATCCTCCTAAGTCTTTCAATATCCAACATAATTATGCATATCCTTTTCTTAAATAAACAAAGTTTTAGTGGGACGCATATTAGTGTCCACCCACTAAGTCTAAACTTTTTTTTTTTTGTCAACCGCTAAGTCTAAACTATTATATAAGTATTTATGTTTTGAAAATCGATCAAAAATGTAAGTAATATATGATTGTCCTTCATTCAATCAAATGTAAGTTGATTATAGTAATATATGATTGACCTAATAACCAAAGAAAAGAATGATTGTTCTTCATTCAATCACATGGACGTTAATTAATTAAGAAATTACTATATTATATTATATAGTAAAATGGAAAATTTTGAAGTTTCATAAAATGGAAAGTTGTTACGGATTGGCAATAAAAGTAAAGGATAACTAACTTCACGTACTGACTGTTTTAGTTTTTTTCACTTTCACAGTGGAGTGAAATTGAGAGAAGCAAATGCTGTCACCTTTTTGGCCCTTTCAAAGATTTCACCATTTGCTTTTTGAAAAATTGAGAATAAATTTTAAAATTAAATACTGACTTTTCAAAAAAAATACTGACATTTCCAGTTTTCGTACAAATATTTCCTACACTTGGTTGTTAAAGAGCCAAATAAGTCATGTACATTGGACAAACTCATATGACTAAGAATATAGTATATATATACACAGGTCTTATGATTTGTACCAAAAGATGTGTTTGTTACATTATACACCATTACCACCGTATAATTATTAATGTTTTAGATTTTTTTTCTTATTAATTAATGTTTTATTAGTTTCTATATAGTTATAATAGAGTAGATACTAGTATTAGTCCTTGTTCAAAAACGCGGACTAGGCGGCCGATTAGTCGCCGGCGAGGCGCTCGGCGGTGGTGGACCGTTGCGATTTGTCCAAATCGGCCAACAAATCGGAGTTTCAGAAAAAAATTCATATTTTGCTTTGATTTAAGTTAGAAATCGATAGTTAACTAATAGATCTATCATAATTTGGTATAAACCTACAAGAAAAACATGAAAACGATGGAATTGTGAAAAAAAAACAAAAAAACGCAGAAACTAGGGTTTTGTTGTCGCAGGGAGAAAGGAAGGGGACGAGGGCAATTTTGTAAATTTGCGATTCTTAAAAAAAAAAAGAGATAAATATCAAAATTGAGCATCGAACCCTCGTTCCCAAGGTCAAAGGAAAGAGACAGACCACTGTACCACGTTATAATCATTGTACACTTACGTTTTTTTAATATATATACATAAATATAAATTAAAAGTATCTAAAGTTAATCCCCGAGTAATCCCGTTTAATCCCCGAGTAATCCCGCTAGGCGCTAGGCCCACCCCGGCCGCCCGACTAGCGCCTAGCGTTTATTAGAACAAGGGTATTAGTTTATTATTACTAATGTATCAACTATTCCTAAATAATTGTCGACGTCACCACGTGGTAATGCTCTTTCAAACTAGCTCTATCAATGTCTTCTAGATATAGGTGTTAACGTCGGTATTAAATGAGATAGGACCCATAATGCCACTATCTGTTCACCGGTGTAGCAGTAAATGCAAATTGAGTTTAAGAAAGAGTACAAATTATGAAATAAATACTTCAAAATTCAAGCAATAAACACGTAAAAAGTTTCCATTTATATCTCACTCTTACCAAAACAGCTATAGAGCCTAGAGATAAATCATATAAAAGCCTAAACATTTAATTTAAGTACCCGTGATAGCAATCGTTACCGGTTTAAGTGCCTCTTCTTTTTCGTTTTTATATTTTCCTCTTCCATATACAAATTGGTAGTTTGAACTCTGAAGAACGTGTATTCATTAGTCAAAAGTTAGGCGGTTGGTCGATCATATTCATGAGTCACATTGTTTTTCATCCATATTACTATTTGCAAAAGAAAAGTACATATAATTTTTTTTTTTAGAATATAAAGTATTCAATTTTTTTCAAAAAAAGATTTAACCGTTTGTTTGGTAAATAAGACGATTGTTTAAAACCGTTTACTGTTTTACAATCACCTTATTTACTGTTTAAAACCGTCTAATTTAAAACTATGTTAACCAATTAAAGTCAATTTTTTTCTTTCTGTAAATATTAATCATACAAGCATGCTTCTGCTAACCTATGCCGAGAAACTATTCATTTTTTGTTGAAATACGTTATACTCCAAAAATAAAATCAGAATTGGATTATAAGCTACAAACAAACAAAGTAATGCTTTTAGAAAATGAGGTAATGAATAAAAGAAATAATATCCACTAGCAGTACTAACCAAGACGAATATAGTCTTGGTCCAAAAGCATCGGATCAGGCAAGTTGGCTTCAATCCTATATGTAAATGCTAGTTTAAGCGATTGTATAGTAAAATATGTTTAACAAATTACATATATTAATCTACGTGATAATATAACAATAACACTAACACAAATCACTAAATTACATATACTAGTTGGTAAATAAACCATGAAAAACAGAAATTAATATAACTGTATTAAATGATACTTTATATCACATCCACGACGATGCAACAATTAACACTTGCGCATTCATGTCTCTTTCTCTTTAGATCAGACATATACCGAATTTTGTTCTGTTCTTTAATTAAGAGATCAGCTGTGCGTAGTTGCGTAGGCATCTTTGTAACCTAATTTTTATGTGCATGCATAGGGACTTTACTTTACAACGAACCAATACGGTGAATTTAATTCGAATACTAAAAATTGCGGCACACAAAGGTAACGTTTTTACTGCAATTTGTTTTCTGTATTTTCAGATGTTGAAATTCAAGACGCGGCTAAGTTTTATCCACCTGTCCACAGTCCACATGTGATTCGCCTCGTATCCACACTAAAGTAGAAAACCAGCAGCATTTCGTGGGGTCATAAAGAAACAAATTACAAGCTCCACATTATATACCGAGTCATCTCCAGTTTCATGTTCCACGCTACTTGTTTCCATAACTTTGCAACAACTAACCATATTATCCATATCTACGTCTTGAACAAGCATATATCATAAGTTATAACCAATGTGACATTTAGTCAACAATACTCATACGTACTGATTCTTCATTCATAACCTTAATTAATTAAGCTGAAACGAGTAAAAATTGGTCATCACTATGAATTGAAATCTATAAGTTGAAATGTTATGAAGAACATAAGTAGTAAATCAATCAGTACCAAACCCCCCAATAAAAGAAAAAATAGTTGTTAACACTTTCATGCACTAGTAATACACAAAGGAAAAGAAACGAGTCCCCAATTCATTGAGACTTTTATTTATTCGCGTGTGTATTTGTACAATTAGAAATTCATTCTCGGCTAGGTCACTTAATAGAAACTATCCAAATGTTTATTATAAACTGTGTAACATCGATAAAAAGTTCTACTATTAACTTGAGAAAACTGAAATTTTTTGTCGTTTTATTTGTCTACAAATTTGACAATTATTGCAATTGCAGTTGAAAAGATTCAAGGATTTCAGCGGCAAAACAGTGAATTAACTGCAAAAACGAAACCTTTTTTTTTTGGGATTTACGCATAGTTTCATTTACGAATTTTTTTCATTAACTTGTAAATAACAATAAAATGTTACATGCCTTATTGCATTATTCATGTTCGCAAATAATGTAGCGTATGTATCAATATATCCGAATGTTACCTCGTTTACAAAGATTTTCCCTCTCCCCTCTACAATCTCGGATACCAACAATGTCTAGGAAATGGGGAACACTTAACCACACACGCACACACACGTGCCTTTAAACGTTACAAACTCAAAGACGGCGACGTTTGCATAGACGGGTTCTTGCAGTGTCTACAACATCGTCACCATTATCACCAGTAGACGACTCAGCCTCCTCTGCCATATTCCTCTCCCCAAGTCGTCTCGTCACCTTTTCTTTCTTTTTCATCTCCAGAAGCCTCCCGGCAAGGTCTTTACACAAGTCCGTTTTCTGATTCGTCATCTTCCTCCAAAATTCGGCTTCTGCTAACGCTTTTCTCGTACGAATCTCCATTTCTCCACATTGTTTCTTCATATCTTCGATGATCTTGTCTTTTACTCTCACACAAAAGACGGCTCTCTCCTCGAGACTCCTTAGTTGACCATACAATTCTCTTGTCATCTGGTTCTGCACATTTCTTAACTATAAATAAATGTTGATGAAAAACATGAACACTATCATAATAATGAGAAGAACAGATATCAAACCTGTAACATATGGTTAATGTCTTTTGCTTGTTGATGATATGGAGCAATCAAGCCAAGAGGAATCGCGGGATTCTGTGGGACAGTTCCATTGACTGGTGTAACACTCAGAGACAACTTCGTTTGGGGTTCTTGCATCTTTATGCGAAGAAGAGAGTCTCTTTTACAAATGTAGATGCGAAGAAATGTGTGTGACAAATGAGATAATGAAACCCTAATCATCGACGTTGCAAGTGTGTACATTTATAGGAAAAATCAGAAATGTGTGAAACATAGAGACGCGAATGTTCAGATGCAAACGCGTCTGTAAAGAAACTGATGAGTTACAACTTCCAAAACTAAGGCATCGTTTCGACGAACAGGCTTTTAGTTTTTCGATTACATTTGGGCTTTTTAAAGTTCTAAAGCCCAATAACCAATTTAGGCCTATGTTTCCATTTAATATTAGAGAAAAAAAAGTCTAGGGGTGAAAGGGTCTTTTGTAGAAAAACGGTAGCAAATCTCGGGGACTCGGACCGAGCAAGTACATTAGTACTTCCATAATTTACTAATATACCCCTCTGTGATATTTAACGATTAGGGTTTTCCTTTTCTCTATTAGGAACTTACGAAAAAGCCCTCAATATGACCGACTTTGCCCGAGTCGGTGGATCTGTATCTCAAGCGTCTATAAATATGGACCTTACCCTTCACTTTTTTTCATTATTTTCTAAACGCGCTTAGCTATCTTCTCCCTCTCCGTCTCTATCTCTAGGTCGAGATTTTTTTAGGGTTTATCTCCGAGTTTGGGTTAGCGAAATCGAGCTTACGGGATTGTCTCGATTATTCTTGTTTGGGTTTTGCTTGAATCTGAAGCTAACCTTGGGTTAATTGAGTTTTGAATCGATTGCATCGCCTTTGACCTTTATCCTCCGATTGGATCTGAGAAAATATGTCGCGCGTTCTCACTTGCCCACCGCTTGTGTTTGCAAGGAACCAAGCGAGCGTTCATAACTTGGTCGAATCGACTAAGGTTCGTTGAGCTACAGATCTGGTTTCTTGCTTCAGTTTTATTTTCGTTATTGATTTTACGGATTTTCTTAAACCTAATTTTGGATTTCGTCTTTCATAAATCGTATTTTTTCTCTGAAACCCAATCGTATAGCTAATTGTACTGCGATTACCATTAGGATTTGTATATTAGGTTTTCCCATAATCTCATGTTTTCATTGTATCCCCTAGCAATAGGGGTGAATCAGGTAAGTTGTATTGTTTTCAATTCTATTTGTATGATTTGATAGGTATAGAGATGTATATGATTTAGTTTGTAGGAGCTTCTATGTATGTGTTTGTTGTAATGGTGTTTCCACATTGAGTGGGATGGTTGAACCGGTCTGGTTCTGTAAGACGTATAGTCTAAAACCCTTTATTCTAATGGATTAAAGCTTGAAAGAATCACACTTCTTTCGAAAAAGGCGCACCGGATAGAGAAGAAGGAAAAGAAGGAGAAGAGAATTGTAAAGAAAGAAATTAAGCGCGAGAAATCTCATAAACATTCGTCGATTAAAGCTGATGATAGTCATCACAAGCAAGTATTTGACCAACTTGAGAAGAGTGATTTGACAGAGGAGCTTGACGAACCTCAAAACCACCTTGGATATTTGTCTGATGGAAGTCAGAATAGTAAGAAGAGGAATAGAGATGGCTCTCCTCCAGCTGTTGACAGTCTCATCAAAGGTTTGTATCTATACTTAATGGACACTCAAGAAGACCATGTTGATATCTGTTGTTAGGTGATTTACATGTTTACTTTCACATGTATATGCAGCTGCACCTGTAGCAGGTAAACCACTACGGATTCGGTTGATCTTCAAAAAACCAAAGGAGGAAGTTCCCTCTCTGCCTGGAGAGGATCTTGTTTGCTCCACTACAGTTGCAAAGTCTCTCAGTCACCAAGATGTCATAACAAGTTCTATATCAGGTTCGAAAACATCTGAGCTTGAAGAGAATCTGCCGTCAACATCTGTAGCAGAGGCAATATATGAAACAAAGAAGAGAAAGAAACACAGACCTAGCAAAGAAGATCAATACAATGCATTGTTTGATGGTTGGACTCCCTCTTCCATTTGTTTTACTGATTCTTCTTCAAATGACAATGGTGATGATTGGCTATTTGGGAACAAGACGCAAGAGATGCTTAAGCCCAAAGCAGCAGTCAAGATTGCCGATGACATGATGATGAAGATGAAACAGGGAGATTCATCTTGGCCTAGAGCTCAATTTTTGTCTGAAGTTGGGATTTATTCTTTACCGTACACAGTCCCGTTCTAATTGCTCGATTCTTTTTGTTCTAGCTTTAGGCTAAGCTTGTACAGTGTTTGACTGTTTGTAACAACAATTCTAATCTAACCCAATTTTGATGTGTCAAAGGCTTTGTAACATATACTAGACATGCTATTCAGATCACTGTCACAACTGATAGATGTCAATTGGTTTGTTACTCTCACAACCTGAGAGCTTGGTTCAATTCAACATCGATCAAGTTTCCAAATCTAAAGATCTGTGATACTTCAACTTTATTAGCATAACCTGATCATATGTCTCGAACAAAAACACAGAGCCAAAATTCTACAGTTCGATGTAAAAAACCGCTTTGATTATAAAATTACCGGAAAATAAACATAATCTCGTCAATTGGCATATTTTTTTATCAAATAACCACAAAACAAACCTCGTTGAATTCGCGATTGTGAGATGATGATTTAAACAAAAGCAAGAAAATAAAAATGAAAGAGTAAGTCTATTATTCGTGGAGCGCCCAACTGGAAAAAAAAAAAAAAAAAAAAACTGCTGACACACGGAGGAGAAGAAGATGAGGACGCTCGCCGGAGTAGAAGACGAGGATAAGTGGCTGGCGGAAGGAATCGCCGGAATCCAGCACAACGCTTTCTTCATGCATCGCGCTTTGGTCTGTTCGCTGCTCTTATTTTCCTCCGTCGAGTTATCTCCTTTTTTGATCTGATCAATCTTTCTATTCATCTCTCAGGACGCGAATAATCTCAGAGAAGTTCTCAAGTACTCTGCTCTGATGCTATCGGAGCTCCGAACATCCAAGCTCTCTCCTCAGAAATATTACGATCTCTGTAGATTCCATCGCCAATAACTTTAGATCTCTCTCGATTTTTTGCTTTGTGTTGACCGTTTTCTTATGATATTTCTCTTTCTGATTCGGCTAATTTTAGATATGAGAGCTTTCGATCAATTGAGGCAGCTGGAGATTTTCTTTAAGGATGAGAGTAGACATGGATTACCTGTGGTTGATCTGTATGAGCTTGTTCAACATGCCGGCAACATATTGCCCAGGATGTAAGCAGATTCATTTTCATCATTGAACTAGTTTCCATTTTTCTTGATCTGATAATGATCTAATAGTCTCAATTCTTTAGCTATATAGCCTAGATTAGACTTTATCAGATTGGACTACAGTTACGAGATTAGACTAGAAAATGGCAATCTCCTCCTATACATCTATTGATGCAGCTAAATTAATGTTTCTCTTGGGCTGCATTGATTTACCAGGTATCTGTTATGTACGGTAGGGTCTGTTTATATCAAAAGCAAGCAGGCTCCTTCTAAGGATGTTCTTAAGGATCTTGTGGAAATGTGTCGAGGTGTTCAACATCCCATTCGTGGCCTCTTTTTGAGGAGTTATCTTGCTCAAGTGAGCAGGGATAAGTTACCTGAGATTGGCTCAGACTACGAAGGGTGGGTTTGCTCTTTCGTTTTCCCATGAGATTTGGCTGCTTAGCTGTTTGTTTGTTTACTCGCCTTGCGATCTTCTTGTAGAGATGCGAATACTGTGATGGATGCTGTGGAGTTTGTGCTACAAAATTTCACCGAGATGAATAAGCTCTGGGTTCGAATACAGCATCAGGTGAATTTTCGATCTGTCAAGAGTTGATGGTATTTAGATACGCATAGCACCTCTGCACTTGCATGCCTCTGACTGAAGCATAAATGAACGATGAAGAGCATGCTTTTGGTCATGCAGGTTGTGTGGTGCTTGTGAATCATTGATATTGGTGAACCTGAGCTGAGGTGTTCCTTGGACTGCAGGGACCAGGAACAGTTCGAGAAAAGCAGGAGAAAGAGAGGAACGAACTTCGTGATCTTGTACCATCGATACCACTACTTAAATTAATACCCTATTTTGCTATGTCACTGCCCACTAAGTTGTATTTAATGTTTCCCTCTCAGGTTGGAAAAAATCTGCATGTTCTAGGACAGATAGAAGGTGTTGACCTTGAGATGTACAAAGAGACTGTTCTTCCTAGGGTCTTAGAGCAGGTTCAGCAGCTCATTTTTGTATCTATTACCAGTTCCTTTCTTATAGATGAGTTTCAATTACTGTATAATCTGGAAACCTTGAACAGGTCGTCAACTGTAAAGATAAGCTGGCTCAGTATTATCTAATGGAGTGCATAATTCAAGTCTTTCCTGATGAGTACCATTTACAGACTCTTGAGACCTTATTGGCTGCTTGTACCCAACTGATGGTGGGTAGGCTAGCAATCAATATTTTTCTCTTTCCTACTCTCCAATGCAATTCTATTTATCCAAATGCTTGGTTTGGTGCTTTCTGAGTAACTCTTCTTATGCTGCCATTATCTCCTGAAAGGGTCTATCTGAAATGTCTGTATTGCCATTCACTATTCTTGTTGTTTTTTAGGATTTTCTTGTGTTTATTTCTTGGTGACTAGGGATTTGGCTCACCAATTAGAATTTTTGAAGGAGGTCCCTGATCTCTTACCGTTTGACTGAAAGTTGAAAACTTTGAGCAGGGAATCCTCAACAAAGAGCACTTTTCTTTTGAATTGACTCTCTGCACTTTTCTCACTTGAGTTATTTGACCTTTTTCCTTCCTCTCTGACCTTAAGAAATAATTTCTCAGCCAACGGTTGACACCAAGATAGTGTTAACCCAACTAATGGACCGGTTGTCAAACTATGCTGCCTCAAGTCCAGATGTAAGTGCCTATTGAGCTATCATCGTTCCTTTTTATTTCTGTTTAATGTTAGCTAGATGTCTTCTTATTCTAGAATTCTATGCAGGTGTTACACGAATTTTTGCAAGTGGAAGCTTTTGCCAAATTAAGCAATGCAATTGGAAAGGTGGGCTCCATTATAGGAAAATCTATTATGAATACAATTTTCTTTTGGCTGTTGGATACTTGAATCATAACGGCCCTTAAAATGGTCCTATGTAGGTCCCCAGTACCATGAGAAGTAGTCAGCTTGTTTTTAGTTTGTCATGTTATTTTCCAATCTTCGCTCGTCTTCTCTTAATCAACTCTTTTGTTAGGCATCGTCAAATCAGCTACCTTCCTTGACATATGATGGAAAAAAGGCCACTGTAGTCTGAACATGTCTGTGCTCTAGTTGTTAGATTTGAGAGTTCAGTAGATAGAAGAGGAGCACATGTAAACTTATGCAGAACTTAAAATGGAAAACCATTAATAAATCAAGCTATCAAGTTGCTGGATGATGCATCTTGTTTTTTTTTTCCGGTCATCCAACTGCCTCAGTTCATATTGTAAATTCTGATGGTCAATAGGCTCAATTCTTTGAGTCTTTGCTTTTCCCAGCCTCCTGCATATGATGCTTTATTTTTCTTGAAATACATCTATATGACTTATGAACTTGGTGTGGGCTACAGGTGATAGATACACAGCTTGAGATGCCTATTGTTGGAGCTATGACTCTGTTTGTCTCTCTTCTGACTTTTACTCTCCGAGTTCATCCTGATCGGCTTGACTATGTGGATCAAGTATTGGTATGATTTCCTTCGTGGCCATATTTTTAATAATTTTTTAGTCAGTATTGTCTCTGTAGCTTGTATCTACATTATATAGTTTTTACATCGATTTTCAGAATCAGATTGGTTTCATTATAAAAAGTGTAAAATGCATTTTTAAAGTTTTTTGATTACTTGAATCTGGTGTAACACTGGTGTTAAACTAACTCTTGATCCGAAAACTTTGTAGGGTGCATGTGTAGTAAAACTTTCCAGTGTGCCCAAGCTGGAGGACGCCCGTGCAATGAAACAAGTAGTTGCACTTCTGAGTGCTCCTTTAGAAAAGTACAGTGACATAGTTACAGCTCTTACATTGTCAAATTATCCGCGTGTTATGGATCATCTTGATGATGGAACGAACAAAGTAATGGCAATGCTTATTATTCAAAGTATAATGAAAACTGATTCGTGTATATCAACTGCTGATAAGGTAATACTACTTACTCTCTTCAATTAAAGATGTAAATATGTTTACTGTAATAATATGCCAATTTTGTGTTCACTAGGTTGAGGTGCTGTTTGAATTGATAAAAGGACTTATTAAAGATTTGGATGAAACCAACGCGGAGGAGGTGCTGTCATTTTCCCTGCGTTTTTTTCCGTGTGTTTTGCAGTGAGCAACTTCGATCAGCTCTAATTTAACACTTTGGTCCTGATGGATTTTCTGTGTTTTTCTGTAGCTTGACGAGGAGGATTTCCAGGAGGAACAAAATTCAGTAGCCCGTCTCATACATATGCTTGATAATGAAGAACCAGAGGAGATGCTAAAGGTTAAACATCATAAATTTACTTAAGTTTCAGGGTCAATGTTATATGCATTTCGCTTCTGGACCTATTGTCTCCCCATGTTTCTACTTGATATTTATGGTATGGTTAAAGCGACTTGTTCAGTTAACCTCGACATGGCTATTATTATTCAGTGGAACAATCTTAGTCTGTTGCTCCATTCACCGAAAACACCATATTGCCCCATGCTCCACTACCCTGAAGCGGCCTGCATCGGTACATTGACCTGCAGACCGGCTTCAGGCCCATTGGCGTTCTTTTACAGAAGAAATCAATAAACATTATGGTTTCTTCTTAAATCATTATCCCTATCGTATAAGCAAATGAATATCTTAACTGGGTATTTTACTGATATGCAGATTATATGTGTTGTGAGAAGGCATCTTATGACAGGAGGACCTCGACGCTTGCCTTTTACTGTTCCCCCACTTGTTTTTTCTGCAGTTAGGGTATATCTCTTATTTCACCTATAACATGCTTGTACTTATATGCAGATTCTCTGCTTGAAGACAAGTGGTTGACTTTACGTGTTGCTTAAATTTTTCTTTCACAGTTGGTGAGGCAGCTAGAATCCCAGGGTGGAGATATAGCAGGAGAAGATGTTCCAGCAACCCCGAGAAAGATTTTTCAGATTCTCAACCAGGTTTGTGAGCTTTTTTTTTTTCACATATCTGAGATAGAGAAATGTGTTTTGTTTACTTCACTGGCTTCTCAGGTGTTAAAAATCATTCTTGTGAATTGTTTATCTCTTTGGTATATTCAGATTATCTCTTAAAATTAATGCAGG